AGACCCTATGGACCTATCATTGGAGTCCAAGCATTAGGTTCTAAAAGCGTATGTAGTGTTAAATCTTTATTGTCGTGCCTACATTAACCTTGCATGATTTAGAATCCATTATATAGTCATGTTCAGGAATAAAGAATTGACAAATCACATAGATTTAAATAAATATGATTATAGTAATTTAAAATGCATATTTGACTTTAAAATATTATCTTTAATATTTTTCTTGGTCAAAATGTAAACTGCCGACTGTTTATTTTACCCTTATGACATATCAAAGAAAAACCAACTGAGCTCGTACTAGAAAAATAAAAGAGTTTTTTTGAAATTTATGTAAGGTCATCGTTATGTATTATTATACTATTATTTTAAACATCGTACGTCAAAAAATTGAGTTTAAAATCGAGTTGCATAACTAATGTATCCATCCAGGGATAGTTCATATATTTTAAAATGGTAATTTTTTATACCTTCTTACTTATGTTTACTTTACGTAGTTACTATTTTCCGTGTATTTATTACCACTAATCATGCTAACTCATTTTATTAAAAGACTGAATAAACATTTTGCTTTAATATGGACAAAAGTATATTACAACAAAAAATAAACTTACCGGCATTCTGGTAATTAATTATGACAATGTGGTATAATGACATTATTAATGACTTCCAGTAAGCATTAGCTGTTATTTCCTACGTCGAAATTAATAATATAGCAATTAATCGATCGTAACTATTGAATTTGGTCTACGATCTATCGTCTACGATATTTATAATTGGAGTACTTCCTTGTACATTAAAGTAAAAACTTTTGATTTTAATAAGTTCAATAGAGTCGAGTAAGTAATAAGTTATTAGTAATCTTTACATAGTATAAAATGAAGTCGCTTCCGCTGTCCGTTCGCTTAGATCTTTCAAACGAATCAACGGATTTTAATGCAGTTTTCAGTAATAGATAGAGTGATTCAAGAGGAATGTGTACAGAAAAGCCGAGAAATTCAAAGATTTGTATTTCATACTAACCGTTAAAACGTACCTAACGGAACGAACCCGAGCGAAGCTAGAGTGAGTCGCTAGTAACAATGAAATAATGAAAATAAGAGGGCTATTCATAAAAAAAAAAATCAGTAAAGGTTCTTCTTCTTTTATGTAGCCGCTAATAAAAACCACAATAGTCGTCTAAATACAAAAGTCAAAATGCCGTAATAACTCTCGCGCGCGTCCCTAATCGAGTTGGTAATAAAAACCGAGATTGTACCCATACATAGATAATACCAGTGCCTCAATTACGTATTATGTAAGCGAGTTTAGTGACGTGGTAAGCTGCGTAATACTAGCTTTATGTACTATATGCGTACTTATCTAAGATGTAGATAATTGATACAAAATTTTGTTTATTCATAAATTTCATTTAGTAATATTAATGAAAAATATTAAGAACAATTAAGATTAGCCTACTTAATACTAGTAAAAACCTATTTATGATTAAGGTATTTTAAGATTGATGATGATCTATGATTATTGTTTGTAATATTCTAGTGCTTATGAAAAATATATATGTCTTAGGGATGCCATTCACGCTAGCTAGTGTTTTCAGTTTTAATTCAGTTCTAATAAAACTTTATTTTAATTTCAGAAAAATTTAAATGTCTTTTACAAGAAAATGTTTTTCGTAATTTCATATTGAAGCAAGAACACAAATTATGTTCAATATTAATCTTAACTGACAGGGACACATTATAATTTAAACGTATTCTTTTGAGTAATAGGTATGTTCAGTAGATCTTAGATTATAGAACAATGCAAGTTATGAATGTCGTTAATTAAAAAATCCCTTTTACATCTTAATTATTTTCCGGGTCTCCTATCATTTGCAATGAAAGACATTGAAGAATTACTGTAACTGCATCTTATATAAGTTATATCATATATGTATAAAACAGAGTCGGGTTAGTTACACCATTTATAACTCAAGAACGACTTTACCGATTTTTATGATCTTTGATTTGTTGGATTTATTTATCTCCACCCCGAATAGCAGAATAACTATTAAAAGATCGGAAAATTCACGAAAAAAATTTATATTTACATAGCTAACGCTGGCTAATAACTATTTATATGTATCAATTAAAAACTTTCCCAGCGACGCACACGAACGAAGCGAGGGTAAGTCGCTAGTACAGACATAATCTATACATCTATACAGATAAATAAAATTGAAGTGTCTGTTTGTAATGTCAAAATAACAGCGTTTTACTAAATGCATATGAAGTTATATACGGTACATAAGGTAAAAATTCATTTTTTTAAATTTTTGTGTCTGTCTGTCTGTCTATTTGTTCCGGATAATCTCTAAAATGGCTGGACTGATTTTGACGGGACTTTCACTGGAAGATAACTGATGTTATAGTGAGTAACATAGGCTACTTTTATTTTAGAAAAAGAATTAGAGTTCCGCTCAAAAAAAATATAAATAACCAGCCTAAAATAGATCATAAAAATCGAGACTACAGTAAGGTAAAATTTTGTCACAAACAATAATATTTAGCCATTTATATAAAACTTGCGTTTACAAGATACGTTTTAACGATTAGTATGGAAAGATAGACTATATAGTATGATTATATTTACTTATATTATTAGACAATATATAATGTACATATATATACATACATAGGCATGATGAGTTTTATATTCCTTACTTGAGAAATGATTGATTTCTGATTTAACCTTTCATCCCCCTTTTCACGCCCTTAAGTGAAGATTTCCGAGATAAAGACTATTCTGTGTCCTTCCCAGGGTCTCAAACTATCTTCATACTAAACTTCATCTAAATCGGTTCAGCGGATTTATAGTCTACCCTATCTATATATAAAAATATGATTTTAAAATAAAATAATAGTTCTACTTTTTACTCTAGTTTTTTTTACCTATTACTAAATATGTCATCAGTGACAATAACTTCGTACGAGATAAGCAAAGCTTTTTCATTCCCAATTACATAATTATACGAGAAAATACTCTTATTTATCATTTATAGGTAGGTACATCTTTTTATTCCTAGTAACATTGCTGTACATTGCACATGATAATTGTAAAATATTAAAAAACTTCGCAATGGGAAATTTTACTTATAATAAATTTCCATTGATTACCACTTGTCTTACGTTGGAGGAAACCATCGTAAAGTAACCTGCATGTCTGAAAGAATATTGCAAATTTTAGAAAGACATGTGAAGTCCGCTAACCCGAATTTGACCAGCGTGGTGGACTGGGGCCTGATCGCCCTTGTATTGAAAAGAAGCCCGTGCCCAGCGATGGAACGTTAAAAAAAATTGCATATAATAAAAAAAGATCGATTGGGAATAAAATAAAATTACTTTAACATACCTAGTATCTATTAAAAATTATAAAGAAGCTTTCTAAACTATCTATCCTAAGCTTTATGAGGTGGCGAAAGCTTCGTCTGTACTGAATAACGTACTCGTATGTCGGAAACATTACGTGCCATTACGCTGACATCTCTACGCAATCGATGACACGCTCCAGATTTCGTCAGTAGGCTATTTTTGCAGATGGGCTATTAAGTAATAGTTACTTGCCAAATATACCTATAAAGTAGATAAAGATTGATAGCTGAACGTGTGGCCAATATTATAATTTTTTCATTAAATTTACATGGATATGTGAGATTTTAAATAAAACTAAGTACATAATATGTATATTTCGGCCTCTCCCTCAACCATGTTTGCTGTAAATCATTCGAAACTTGGGGAACGAAATCTAAACAAATCTGCTAAAATAATTTAAAAATGGTTTCATTTAAAACATAGTGCATAAAAATTATTATCCTTAAAACAGGTAAAAATTAACATAATACTTAGGGCGCCTTCTCTTAGTCATTTATATTTTAATAGCTCGATTTACTCACAAATTCATATACGTTAAAGAACTTGTGCCATTTATTTTTAATCGAAAATCATGTAACGCCATTAATAAATTACGCGTCAAAAACTTAATTGTTACATAAAATATATTATTTTCCAAAAACAATTAACCTGAGTAAATTTTAATGGTACTTTTGAAAGATATTTAAATACAACCCGTATTTAGTCCGACGAGGTAGCGGATACAAGATAATAATTTACTTGTATTGAGCACAATACCTGTTGTTAGCCCGAGGCTGTCAGGAAAACAGTGCAATTCTTAAGGAGGAAGCGATTACTTAGAAAATAACTGCCTTCTACTACATATAATAATTATGTGGAGATATTAAATATTCGAATATTACTCATACTAATAAATCTAAGCTTTTTATAAAATCTCTTATTATATAAAAATAACAATTCGTATTTTTTATTATTACTCTATTATTAGGCTTATTTAACTGTTTTTATAATAACATCTGTTAATTTTAAAAAAATATTTTACATAAATTTCATAATCATCATGTATACAATCTTTGTAACTCATTTCTACTGCCATAACAACATAATTCTGCAATTTATGATCTAAACCTAGTTTTCCCTCACTTAACTAGTTCAAAACAAGTAACAAAAATATTTTTGTTACAGATGTCCCACTTAGACTTTTTTAGAAAAACCGCTTTCATTTTTGTTGTATTTTACACCATTATTTCAAAACATACTTATAAATATAATAAAAACATCCCATTAAAGTCTGTTCAATTATTTTTCAATGATTCATAATTAAACAAAGTAATGTACGTGAAAACTGTAGTCAAATTTGTTAATATGTTTTGTGTATAAATAAAGAGATGGGAAGAACTTTGATTTATAGAATAAAGACGACAATATAATATGAAACAATCTATAAACAATAGCGACTCTGTTAATTTTATGCACTTAGTCTACTAATCAAAACAAAATTTATTTAAATCCCAATTTATATTTTTCAATTTTCAATAAAATAATATTAAGAAAAATATATTTGTAACATTATTGAATAATGATAAATCGAAAAACTTTTAAATCGTAGAACGTATGATTGAATCTCCCTCATTAAAGTTATCCGACCTTTGCTCTGTAAGCTGTACGTCATACTTTGCAGCGTAATTGTATATTATTCTGCAAAGACAGAGGGATTGGCGGATTGGTAGTTCTTAGATGATGCAAATTCCTTTAATAAGAGAATAATTTAGTATTTGCGCAATTGAGTCTTATTAGATGTTATCGTCTAATTTTGAATAAATTTATTGTATATAAACAAATTCGAACTATTTGGTCAAAAAGATTCTGTAATATAAAATTTCCTTGAAATAACATTTAAAATACAAAATATTCAGTATATTACATCAGCCAATTAGCCATAACAGTGATTCCTTGAATACGTGATCAAAATTTTATAATTGTACAGTGTGGTCACGTATTTGAAATACGTTAGACCAATCTTCATTCCAAGCTAACCTAAGCTTTCTCCTGACCTACGACACCATGTCGAAATTAAGTCGTTTTTAAAGAAAAATGTAAATATTTAAGTGATTATGATAGTAGGTCGAAGGTGACTCGGGTTAGAAAGACATCCAATGAATTTTATCGAAATATATTGTCACATAACTTATAGCTTTTTATGTAAGTGGCGATGAAACCTTCCTCACAACAGTGTCACCTACTGATTAGAGACTTTTGGCGTAGTTTCAAGCCAATAAACTTTTGCAGCTATTAACAAAGCCTTAGACATTTTAGTAAACACTAGAACATTTGTGATAAAACTTAAAATGTTGACAATTAATAATGTAAAATAAAATTAGAAAAAATAGGTAGTACTTATCATTAAAGGTAATCACTAAAACGACCTACTAAGGCAAAACTCGGTCATACGGCTAAGGTATAGTAATCAAGAAATCATTATAGGTAATATATCGAGTGCATTTCACTTATGTGACATAATGTTCGTTTTCTCCACAAATCGTCTCGCCAGTCGGCCGGAAAGTACGACAAATGTACTTATGTACATATGTAACCAAATCACGTAATAGTATGAATAATTATAACATTCTTAAGAAAAAAAATAACTTTAAATAACTTTGAAACCCCTCAGACATGGTTCTAGTCGTATTTAATTGTGTTATAACAAATTTACTCATATTTCACATTTAGCAAGAAATTAGAAGTTAGAAATCGTAGCTTCAGATGTTTAGTAATTTCTATGAATACTTGTTTAGATTTTAAAAAATCGAATACATATTTATAATGTAATGTGCAATATTTATTTGCTTAATTACCAAAGAAGACATTTTCTTTTTTAAGCTTAAAAAAGTTGGTCTCCAGTCTACGTATCGTTACTAAAAATATACCACAAGCAACGTTATTTTCAACATTTATAATATTGCAACTATATACTTTGTAGAAACCACAAAATCAAGACTTGACAGTATTTCCAAACAAAACAAACACGGAAATTATCTCACGTTAGCTTTCCTCTATTACCTCACATAACATTACTTATTCGAACAGGAAGAACGTACTTGATACGACTTCTTAGTTCACTCGCACTTGAAACCTATAAGTACCAAACACATACATACATACATATGTATGCATACATATAATCGGTATATGCCTGTCATTAAAAGACAATTCCAATGTTATTCATGCTTCACATCACTTATACGCCTACGAACTGTAAAATTTCATTTACAAGTATAATTAACGTAATGTTGCCTACTGCATAATTAACTTGACGAAAATGCAATAAAATCGTATTGTGGGTAGTACCTACACTACGATTTCAAACCTTTTTCTTTGAAATCATATAAATTAAATGTATTATTCTATCTAACTCTAAAAAATTATTTAAGAATATAATACATATTTTTGATACAAAATTATATCAATAATATATTTCAATTGATTACTCGTTTCTTTTTTTCAAAACAATATTTATGGTGATCACCTATATCAATCTTCTTTCGTTTTTCCAGATGACACAGACCTTAAAGCAGAATCGTCAGAAATCATATCAGAAGCAGTGGCAGCACCACCTAGTCTCCATCGCGCAGCCGGCGACACTACAGGAGCCGCTGATCAAACCGATCACTCCATTGAAGTTATTGGTGACTCGCAAACATTCTTTCCATCATTCGCTAATCTGTTTGAACCACGACAGTCTAATAATTTCCGAATAGACTTCGATAGTCAAGAAAGAGCCTACAGTCAACGGCCTAGCTCATACAGATCGTTATTAAATTATCCTCTTTTCGGCGGCTACAAACCTTACGAAGGCTTTGGAAAACAAAGCGCTCCCGCCTCAGAGCCGTTAGTAGATGCAAGCTCTAGCGTTTTGGGATCTGGAAATTTTGGTATTATTAGAGGAGGGACTTTCTTCGCACAAAACGAAGAAGATGGAGAATATGGCGATAATTATGATTCTTACTATAACAACGGCCATGGAAGACCATCCCTGAACGTCGGTTACATTGCCAACCCACGCCCCAATTACAATCAAGACCAGTTTGCTAATTTCAGAGATTTCGCCGACATAAACGCACCTTCGAATACGGCCTACTCTCATTATGTTGTAGTGTATGCAAACAAAAACGGCACTCTTGATGAAATCAGTGAAGAAACGAGAAACGTAGCAAGCAAACCTAAAAACATAATTGAAACATTAGAACAGCTCGACGAATTGAGCTCGCCAAAGAAACAATCGAAAGCTAAAGTGAAATTGGAAATGACAAAACAAAAGTCTCTACATAAAAAAGAACAGTGGAAAAAGAGCAATTCCAAATACCTTAATTTAAAACATGATCCTGAAGAACCATTATTAGCTTTAAGTTAAATTTAGTGTTTATAAAAAGACTTTTGTTGTGTACGTGTTCATAGTGATAGGTTAAGTTTACAATGTTCGTCACTTTAAAGATGTGATAAAGCTGTCTAAATTAATATAAGAGGAGTGTGAATGCTATGGAGAGAATAAATTTATGCTTGCGAATGACTGCAATGGTGTGAGAACTGGATAATAAATTAATATTTTAAATAAGAGATCTGTTTTATTTTTGTATATGTGTGCATTATATGAAATAAATATTGAAAGGTATAACGATTGTTTGTTTTTAAGACTTGCTTTACAATCTACATCGAATAGCAAACTTTAAAATCTGAAACTACGAAGTTTTTCACCTGAAGTTATGTAATCAGTGATATAGATATATAAATTTAAAGAATGATCTATACATATAATAAAATTGTAACTAAGCCGAATCTGTACATTAAATGTTTTTTGGAAAATCTTATTGAAAGAAACATTATTATCGATACAGAAGCCGAATCTATAGTTTTTAGAATTTTTGTCTGTCTGTTTGTGACCGCATCACAGAAAAACCACTGGAGGGATTTTGATGAAATTTGGTATGGTGATAGCTGGTTATCCGGGTCAACATACAGAATATTTTTTACCGCGGGAAAATATCTCATTTCTGAGAAAAAATACAAAAACTGCATTGTAAGAGTATATTAATATATAAAACCTAACAATTTGGGTTTGGTCATCTGAACGCGGGCGGAGCCGCGGGCAATGCTAGTTAGTAATAAATATCAAGACTTTAAATGAGAGAACACTAAATTAAAATAATTAAATCTATTATATATTACTAGACGACTAACTAAATCAGTCGGCATACATTATAATTATATTATTATTTTTTAATTGGACTAATCAGGATGTCTACTGACTACGTCTCTGCGTATTTGATTTTAATATACTTATAATGCCATATGAAAGCTGCTCTGTGTCTTCTTCATTTCATTCTAGTGCAGCTTAGGCATACAGTCAAATCCAACCCCATAAAAATTTTAAAATAAACTCTAAACTCCATTTTATTCCGTTATTAATTACCATACTATTATAAACTAACCTCCGCCCGTAAGTTGGTGCACGTGTTAAGGTGTTGTCATCGTTACCCAACGATATCCATTTCTAGTAAAGTTTTCATTACAATCACCCATCATGTTATTTTTTTATTCTGCTGAAGCTTTTTTCTTTTCGATATAAAAAGTAGTCTACGTCACGTAAACGGCCTACGACACAGATAAATAATATTTAGACACTCTTGTTCTTTTAGTCTGATTAATAATTACTTAATACTTTCTTAGATTTACGCGAATATTTGACATTTTAAATAAAACCATATTTTCGGATTTTTTCGCGGATTTATTTGGATTTTTGGTTCCCGACGTTTCGAATGCTTTACAGCAATCATCGTCACGGGAGAGTATCTCCGAAAATATAGTTTTATTTAATAACTACTTACTAGTAATACCAGACATTTTTATAAAAAGACTGCAAACTAGATTGTAACCCATTATGTAGTGCTTATTTGCTTAAAAAGTTTTTGTAAATTAGAATATATAAATTTCCATATTTATGCTGATCTCTACTGATGAAGTATTTTCCTAATGAAACCCATATCAACGGATATAAACAGACACACAGATAGATGCGAATCGAAGTAATCAGAGACTTATATGTATATTCTGTAGAGTATAATAACATTAAAACAGAAACTTTATAAAAATATTTTTCACTATTCAAAAGAACTGAATTACTAACTCTTAGTTACGCTGCCATCTAGTGTTGAGTAGCTGAACTACATATTTAGTTTAACTAAAACCTCAGTGGTTTTTTTCAGATATTTTGTTAATATTTATGATTAAAAATTATATTATAAATGTAACATTTCATAAAGATAAAGTAATTTATTTTTGTTATTTACTTTTCCACATAAAATTTTCGTCATATATAGTCTATAACTTTTTTATCTATAGAATCAAACTGTCTTATTATTTTTAATCTATGCACTAAAAATAAAAAAAGCTCTGTATTGAAGAGTGTGGTTAAAGAATATAGATTGCTTTAAACATTTTTTCTGTGATTATGTTGTATTCAACAGTTCTTTTTACAAATATTTAATGTAAATAGAATCGTCAATCATAAATAAATTATAAAAGTGCATGTAAATAACTAGAAATTTTAAACAATGTTTTCTGGGAAAGATGCCGCAAATGCTGCATATCCCACACAATGGGCCTTAAACCCCACTGCATATCAAAATATAGATTCTAGTCAAGTAGATTGGGCTGCGCTAGCACAACAATGGATTGCCATGAAAGAAGCTGCTGTTGTCACTGGACCACCAGCGAAGCCCGACGTAGAAGAGGGCGAAGCGCCCATGGAAGTAGAAAACCCGGACGCTAATTGTGAAGCACCTGTCACTCCTGATCCAGATTGGAGTGCATCACCAAATACTTGGGGAGGCTCTTGGAACCAATGGGGTATGAAAGTCATTAATTTTATAATTTTTACTCAGACTTGTTAAAAATATATTTTTCTGGCACTATCTAAGTAATTCATAAATATTGCCTAAAAGCTTATATGTACCTACTTATTTATCAGTATAGTAAGAGCTTGTAAAGCCATACAATTAACAAAAGAAAATTCTTACCAAAATATCTTGATACAATAACACTGTTTTTGGTTGTTTTTTTTTTATAAAAAGTAAAAACAATGTTAATTGTGAATATTTTACTGAAGGATGGGGCTGGCCAGGGGCAGGCCCCGTGGATCCAAAGTTGGGTGGAGATCCAGCAATTGCTATGGCACCGATTATGGATGGATACCCTGTACCAGAAGGAACTGCTCCTTTACCTGGGTGAGTTTTTGTAATACATAGTCTATATTTTTTGTGATATTTGTATTCCAATTTAATCTTATAATAGGACTACTGCTTTATATGTGTATGTTTATATGCATGGCAGCATGTATAATGGTGCTTGCTTGCTTGGATCAAATTTTGGTATACAAACAGAGTATGACCTGGCGCAACATATTACTGTTAGGCACATAGGGATGCACCTGAACAAAGTGAGGATAAATTGTGCATTTATTAGAATCATAACCATAATCATATTCTATAATATATTAAAAAGAAAAGAACATTCAATGCGTAGTTACCATATGAGCAGGTTTTTAAAAAAAAGTTTGATAGATACAATATATTAAATCCTGTCTTAAAATGCCACAATAAATGTTATAGAGATTGTCGAGTGCCTTTTGTTCTGCAGCTTATATAAAATACTCTGCTCTGTTCTGAATACAATACCCCTCATATCAATTCATATACAGTTTAACATAAGTATGCTTTGACCTAGTTTGAAAATGGTAAGTATAAAAGTTGAAAATGATTACAACAAAAAAATGAACTACAGAAAGTTGAGTGTTTGATCATTTCTTTTTTGTTGTTTTTGAGCGTTCATTGCTTTTGAAGTATTAAGAACTAACAACTTTATAATTCTCTAACACTTTAATTGAATTAGACACTTCAATCTTATTTATCTGTATAGACTAGTGACTTACCCTTGCATCGTTTCTGTGTGTAGGTACATTTTAATACTTTTTCTAGAATAAAAGTATTTTAAGTTCCTTATAACATCAGCTATCTGCCAATGAAAGATCCGTTAAAATCGGTCCAACCATTTTGGAGATTAGCTGGAACAAACAGACAGACAAAAATTTAAAAATTGAGTTTTTCTTACAAGTACTATATAATTACATTTGCATTTAGTAAAAAGCTGTTATTTTAACATTACAAACAGACACTTCAATTTTATTTACAGATACATAATATACAATGATATAGTATAGATAATGTATTCTTTATTTTTAATGTTAGTTTCACAGGCCTAATTGTATGAATTTTAGATTCACTGCATTTAATCTAGCTTTGCTTGCTTATTATATAAATTAAAATGTAACTTTTATATAGATACTGTGGAGTATATTCAGAAAATATATACATACATACATAATTATGTTACAATCAAAACCATTTTTTAGTCCAAACTGCTTTTGTTTAAAGAGGTTGGTCAAAAGTAGTTTTGACTGCAGGCATTTTTTTTTCTAAAAGTTCTAGTGGTTTATATAAATAGTTTTTACCATATGATATGATAATCAAAACTGCTATTGACCAAGGCCTGCAGTTAAAACTACTTTTGATGAAACTCGTTAGTCAAAAGTAATTTTGACTAAGAAATAGTTCTGACTGTAACATAATAATGTATACATACATAATTTGTTCAGCATTTCAATAAACCGTTTAATCTTATTACATGACACCAAATAAGATTAAAGTTTTTCACATAAAGTAGATAAAGCAAATTCTTTGAAAATATACATGCTTTATGTCATCAATCACATTACTTAATAGTGCACTAGGCACATGTCATGCAGAAAGCTGGATGTTAGATTTTTGCTTGGGTACTACTATAATGAAATGCAGTGAAATAAAATAAATATGTATAAGTTGCATGTATCATATTTATTTACGTTAAAAGTAAAATATAATAGTTACCCTTCTGCTTCATTATAATAATATAGTAATGCTTTTTATACATTTAAAAAAATAGTATTTTATTAGATACTTTAATGTTTATTTGCCACAGTTATGAATATCTTAATTGAAGATGCTTTTCAAACATTAGCTGTCTAAAATATGTGTATACTGAAACAATGCTACTTTAATTACTATATATGTATTTTGAATAGTTCAATACTTAACTGAAACAAAAGTCTGCTTAACACGATGGCTCAAGTATCCCCAATTAGTGATGGCTTGTTCAATCTACACTTAAGAGACTTTGATACTGCACTTTGTCTGCTAGATGGTGAATCTGCAAAATTTCCTATGCACTAGAAACTAAATTAAATTGTATGACCCTTGTTTGTTAATCCTATTGCATCCATACTAATATTATAAAGGTCAGTGTGTTTGTTAGTGTGTTTGTTTGGTTGTCTTTCACGTCGAAACGGAATGACGGATTAGCGTAATTTTTGGTGTGAAGATAGTTGGAGAGCTGGAGAGTGCTATAGACTTTTCATACTTTTTATCCCGGGAGATCATCTCATTCCCACGGGAAAACACGTCATAATACAATCCAAAAATTTATTTTTCATCAGAATTACTTGAAATTCGGTATAAATGCTCTTCAATACAAATAAATAAATACGTGTTTTAGCATTTTTCGAAATTTATCCTATAAGGGGGTAAAAAAAGGGATGAAACTTTCTATGAAACCTAGGTTTTTAGTTTTTTTTTTGTAGTTTTAGCGTGAGCTAAGCCGCGGGTTCTGCTAGTAATATTATAAACGCGAAAGTTTGTGAGAGTGGATGGATTGATGTTTTTTACTCGTTCACGCAAAAACTACTGAACGGATTTTGGTGAAACTTCACAGTAATATTTATAAGATTTGAAAAAAAACTACTAGAAATGAATTGCAGGTTAATGTCCATTATTATGGTAATAATTAATAATAAATGATTGACTAAAAGTTTGTTCAGTCAGTTTTACAAAAATTAATATAGGTATAATATCACCTCCAGGTAAATTTCTAAGAAATTAATTAAACTGAGAAATCTATTGTTAACTGTCCGCGGTCGTGGAGGGGTTAATTGTATATTGTAGGTATGTTTACATATTTACAAACATTATGATTTATTTCACTACCGTTCCCCAGAATAACTGTAACCCCACTGCCGAATGTGGGTAATGTCTTTGTCATTGTTAATGAGTAAAGTCTATGTATTTGTCTATATTTTAAACCAGCTATGTGTAACCTAACCGGTTTGACATATTTTAAGATGTGATATAATATCATTTGATTCGTCTTTATTGTAGGACTTACTATGTCGAATATAAGTGGTGTCCATAAGAAATTGGGAAAGTACAAGTTTGACTCGCATACCAAGGGTTCCGTAACATACAACATAATATTTTTATTATGTTAAAAGTAAAATAAAATGTTTACCATTCTGCTTCATTATAATAACAAAAATATGAAAGAATTATTAAAATATCCCAGCAAACGAAAAAGTTTATGAAACTTTAAAGTTGCGCTTGTAAAAACAATTTCGTGACGCACACGACCTGAACCACCGAATTAATTTCTCAATCATAAATGATTGATTTATAGATTTAAAAAAAAAAGGCTGATTTATTAGTTTTGATTTATATTATAATTTCATTGCGTTAAATATGGTATTATCAACATCAGGAAACTTCTCCGTTATAATAGAAATATAATATATGAGAAAAAAAAATGGGTTCCGTTTTTATCTTTTGGCTACGAAACCTTAACAAATAGAATCAATGCAGAGTATATAAAGTTAGTATAATAATTCCAGATATTCTACGGGAACGGTGTCAGGCCCCACCTTCCAACACGGGTATTGGACAGCTCCCCAAGCGGAAAACGATAGGAGCGGCCGCAGTCGCGAGAGGCGCTCCAAGAGCAAGAATAGAGATGGCAAACCTACCAGGAGTAGATCACAAAGGTAAATACCTTATTAGTTATTATATGTACATCTGCATTATATAATTAATTTGAACTATTTAGTGAACCAATTTTAGAGAACGGTTTTACTTCATGTTTTGTATTATTTTATGATCTTTATTCAATACAATCGGTTTGATGTGTGATTAAATTAACACAATAGTGATTCAGTGCCATAATGCTTTTAATATAAAAACTTAAAACTATAAAATTTATAGGTATGGATTTGACATTTATAGATATTCAGAAACAACATAAATTATTTGCTTTACTGAGGGAAGGAGAAACCGTAATATTATGTGTTTTGTCGAAATTTTAGGCAGTATTTTTTTTTACTTTTTAGAATAAGATAGAAAAAAAATTGTTTTTAAATAACGTAAGACACTACAAATAACGTCAGAGTTCCGAGCTGTAAAATTAACTCCATTATATTATGTATGCTAATTGAAGCAATGAAGCCTCCGCACGACAGACAGGTCTTTGTCGACACTGTGAAATTGTTATTATGAACGATCTAAACGAATGCCAATATAAATATCGCTTAATGTCGACTTATAGTACGTACGTTACATACAGATTAAGGCTACACGCGCTTTTGTATTTAGATTTACGTTGTTCAAATAATATTTTTGGATTTGTCGATAATAATAATCTATATAGATAAATAAAATTGAAGTGTCTGTTTGTAATGTCAAAATAACAGCTTTTTACTAAATGCATATGAAATTATATCGGTACTTATAAGAAAAATACAATTTTTTGTTTGTTTGTTTGTTACGGCTAATCTCCGATACGGCTGGACTAATTTTGACCTGATTTTCACTGGCAGATAACTGATGTTATAAGGAGTAACTTAAGCTACTTTTTAAAAGAATTAGGGTTCCGCTCAAAAAAATTAATACGTACCTAGTACCAGGGCGAAGCGAGGGTTAGTCGTTAATAGAAAATATAACTTGTTTATATTTATATTGCTTGCACATCGCTTTCAAAGATAGAAAGAAGTCGCTAAATCGAGAAGAGTGGTTAGTCCATTCATAATTTTTTGGATAGACATAGTTTATAGACCAAAAATTCTCTTTTATTGCAAATAAAATGATTCCCATAGGTTGTAAGTGGAAGCAGAAGCGTAAGCTAAACGAGGAGTAATCGTTACTTTAAAATAAATTCTAATAACGACAACGTAATATAAAAACCCCTATTGTAAAACCAAGCTAGGTATCCGAAATTAATTCTGTCTTTTCTTCGCCCATAAACTACGCTTCGCTCGGGTTCGTCCTTAGCTTGCTTCCCCATACAAACTTTCATCCCCATTGTCACCCCCTTATTTCCGGGATAAAAATTATTTCATTTACTCACTTTTCATATCATGAGATTTAAAAAAACTTATTTTAGTAAAAAAATATATTTTCTTTTAATTTTCTTCTATACAAAACTTGTCCTGACAACAACAAACACAAAAAAAAAGAATTTTCTAATTTTTGCAGTCGATCGGAAGTTATGCGTGTATATACATACATTTCGGTGATTCATTTTTATTTATATAGATAGATAAAATTGTACTAATAAGTAGTATTATTACCGTTTGTATATGTATTGTTTCCAGATATGAAAACTTAATAAAATATTAATGTTACGTTTTATTTAAGCATGGCTTGTTCCAGAGAAAAACCCCCAATGATCCCGCCAGTCATAGAACCTATAGTAATGCCCACTCCAATGGCGACGTCGACTATAGACGCCGCCAAGAGACGGCAACTACCTGCGTGGATTCGAGAAGGTAAGAACAACACAACAACTTTCAGTTTATTTTAATTCAATCATACATATAACATGTTTTGTTCCTATTTATCGATTGTCTACGAATGTATATTGGTTTAAAATAATAGTTTTATAGTAGGTCTAAATCACACTTGGCCACTTTAAGGCCTATACTATAATTACACAAAATGTGTTTCTTGTATGTTATATTGAGTTTACAATACAACAAAAACAACATGCTTCTTGGAGAGTTCCGTATATTTTTAGTTTTTGCTAGTTTATTGTTTGGGTTTAGTTTCGACCGTTCGATACGAAACCCTAAAAAAATTAAAAATCTATGGAAATTGTAATACCTATTTTATCATTACAGGTTTAGAGAAAATGGAACGAGAAAAGCAGAAAGCAATAGAGCGGGAACAAGAGAAGAAGGCACGAGAAGAGGCGGAGTTAGAGAAGAAGAGGTTAGAGGAAGAAGAGTTGGAGAGGTTAAGAGCTGAGGCGGGCGGGCAACCGATGCTGCCTGCGAAGAGCAAATTTGTAAGTGCAAATTTAAAAAAATATAATATAAAAATCGCCTACAGATATAATATCATAATCATCATCATAATGCTAGATCAATAGTTCAAGCATATTTAGTTCTTATTTTTGAAGTAAAACTTCTTTACGCACGCTTTACTTGGGGGTTAGGTGGTGAATGCGTTACGAAAAATTTATGTATGTTTGTTGCCATGGTAACAGTTGTTATTGTCTGACAAAATATGATATATAATATTATATTCTTTTCTTATTCTATTCTATTAATATATAATTGTGTTATGCCTAAAATGCGTATATTTTTAGTATCTCACCTATCCTAATTATTTAAAACATTACACGCAAAATAGGCGCATAGTCGTCGAGTTGCGGAAAACAGCCCGAACATACCATACCATACCATACCATATTTAAAACATTAATTGAATTTCATACAAAGTACCGATAGATAACCTACAGAAGTTTTACTTCTTGCGCGTGTACGCGTGTACATTCATACACGTACTCTTTAATTTTAACTATTTTAATATTTTTTAACGGGGAGACTAAGGTGTTAGAAGTTTCGAAGGCATTATATAGTTGTTACAGACAGCCTACCCACTAATTTGCCCACAATTTAATTTGTCCCTTAGTCTCCCCATGACCATGATTGCTGTAAAGCATTCGAAACGTCGGGAAACAAAAATCAAAATAAATTCACGAGAGAATCCGAAAAGATAGTTTTATTTATAATGTCAAATATTCGCGTAAATCTAGGAAAGTATTAGAGGCAGAATTATTATGTGTGTGTGTGTTGTGTATTTGTCCCAGGACTCGGACTCCGAGGGCTCGCAGTCGGGCGCGGAGGCGGCGGAGGGGGACGCGTCGCCGCTGCTCAAGAAGACGCGTGACGAGATTATGCAAGAAGTGGTCAGTGCAGGAATATAATAAAATAAAAATAAAATAAGCCTTTATTACTGCACAAAGTTTTAAATTAACTAATAACACTTTAAAGTACTACATGCCATAAACAAATTCGTATTTTACTACTAATCTTAAAATATGTATAAGTTTTATGATCGGCAAACATCATTCCCCTATTGCAAGCTTGTCTTCCGACAAAGGCCTCCTCTAAAGATATTATCTTCTCTCTAAGGAATAAGTGCAGGAATGTATTATATATTTAAACTTATTCTGCCGTCATAAAAAAGATGGCCGCAACTTCGTCAAAGTTGATGTAGAGATATTTGAAGATTTATCTTACTACTACGTCAAAATTACTACTGGTTTTGAGTTACGATGAAAATGATTATGATATTTCCGGAATCGTAAGATTTAGAGCTTTATGAGTAAGACTATCAAGTAGCCTTTTTTTGCTGATTCCAATACTGGGTTTAAGTCATTTTTGACCAAATTGTTAGTTAGGGCCTTCTTTATATTATAAAGGCAGTTTTGATATTGTAAAAGTGTAGGGTTTTTTCTTATTGATCTTTAATATCATAGAAGATGTGTTTTTTGGTTCCTATCCATGTCCGTAAGTCCCTGCCTTTTTTACTCGAAGACTATTAGACCTACATTGCAGAAATTTAGTAGGTATATTTACATATATACTGAAAATGTATCTTATGTAATCTGCTAGACAATTCTCTAGACTCTAGTCAAATTACAAAAAAATAAAAAAATATGGATGGCACTCAATACATGTAACTAAGAGGTGAATAAAAATTTAAATAGATGTTTCTCAGTGCCTTTTAGTCAATGTGTCACATTGATAGTTGCAGCGCTACATTCTAATGTCGTAAATATTGTAACTTCTATGGATGTATACCTGCTACGGAACCCTCGACGTATGAGTCAGACTCGGACATGTTCGATTCGTTTTGTATTTGTAATAAAATCCATACAGTACACCCATTTAAACGAAAATCCTCTCAAAGGCCCTTGCCTTGACAACCCCTGTTGTCACACACAAAGCTACAGAATAAAAATTATATGCAGTTGATTTATGTCTGCTTTGCTTATGTAAAATTCTTTTTCGGTTAATTCATTTTCTTTTCTTTTGTTTAGACGACACGTTTGGCTCAGTTTGTAGTGACCCTAATTGCTGCGCCAGCGGTTCGGGTTCGAGTCCCGCTGTAGGCATTCATTTGAGCAATGAGCACGAATATTTGTATTCCAGGCGTGGGTGTTTATATTTATAATATGTATGTATTTAAAGTTAGCTCGTAGCTTACCATAGGACTAGATGGACCGTAGGACTAGATGGTGCTGTGTGTTCATGTTCCAACATATTTATTTAAATCGTCATTTCTTCGTTAATACAGATGATAGCAGTACGGCGGTCGCTAACAGAGATCCTGCTGGAAGTGACGGACCACGAGATCCAAACGGTGAGCCAAGAAGAGCTGGCGCGGTATAACAGCGCACAAGGTATCATTTAACGTAGCAGCGACGACTGTCACAAATAATGGCTAATCGAGTTTCGTTTCAGATTTCACGACACACAAAAATATATAAGAAACTGATTATAATCTTGCTTTTATTTATATGGTAAAAGCGTCGCGAATCAACGCGTTGAAGGCGAGCAGGTCCAAGGCGCTCGCGTCCATCGCCAGCGGACTCGGTGAGTGCTGCCTCTTTCTCTCTTTTTTTTATGTTATTAAAGTTTAAACTGATATACAAATGGTAGCCTAGTGGTAACGCGCTCGCTTGGGAAGCCGAGTGAAGCGGGTTCAAATCCCGGGTCTTGCACCTCTGATGTTTTCATGTGCGAATCATTTTCAACGTGGTTACCGTTTGTCTTACGGTGTCTGAGAGAACCTGGCAAGTTTTCGAAAGACATGTGAAGTCCGCCCGCACTTGGCCAGCGTGGTGGACTATGGCCTGATCCCCCTCGTACTGAAGGGAGGCCCGTGCCCAGCAGTGGGACGTTAAAAAGAGCTGAATTGACGTTTATAAAAACCCTAAATATATATATTCTAGGGTTTACAATAAGACAAATGATGTCTTCTAAGATGTGAACTTCACGTACATAGAGTAGAAGCTAAGTACTACCTATAAATATATACTAAACAACAAGGTTTAAATGTTATTACATATGTATTACAGTTTTGTCGCGTTCGTTAACCCTATATCTCTGTCTATTTCACTCATCCCTTTGACTCTTTGGTCTATGAAAACTTGAACGTTAATTCTTTTTGTTTCCATACTACAATAATATGTATAAGGATATTGAAAATATATTATTCAATAAATTTCATCCTTGTATTTCTTATAATTCTTCTCGTGGTGAAATTTGACGCGCTGTATTCTGCTATATTATTCAATGCTATTCTAATTTAACCCAAACATCTTTTTATTTATTTTGGTCAACAAACAGTAGCAAATTGAAGAATTATAATGCAAATATTTGATACAAAATATAAGTCATTATTATTATTTGAATCACCAATAAATACTAGCATCAGCGCTAGATTTACACTAGGGGCATTTGGGGCTATTGCCCAGGGCGGCAAATTTTCAGGGGTGGTAAAATTCGGAGGGTAGGAAAAAATTTTTTCTTCGCGTTATCAAAAATGCTTTTTTTATGTTCGAAAAAAAAAATAATTAAAAAATATAAGTTGTACATTTTTCGAAAAATTGAAATCATTTATTATATTAATTAATTGAAATCATTTATTATATTATTGAAACTTTACCTATTTGATGCAAAATTTGGCATTTTTTTACTATGCCCAGGGGCGGCGCTAAGGTTAAGACGTCAACGGACTCAAAACCATTGCCTAATAAATTTTGTTTTTTGATAAATTGTAACCTTGTTCTTTCACAATGCTGGAAAGATTTTAATTTTGATAAACGGTAATATTATTGCCCAAAATTTACTACAAATGCACTCGACTCGTTGTCACGCAGTCACGTTATGACTGCCCGGTAATTAGGTACAATGACGTATGTATGTACTATCTATATTACTTAACGATTATTTCACACTCAATTACACGACTTTAAACCCTTTTTATTCTTAAAACAACGCAAAAGCAACAATATTTTTGTTATCATCTATATATTGTAATGTGGTACAAAAATTTACTATAATAATATGTACTCTCTGACTGAGGAAGTTAATAATTAGAGAACCTTTACAACTTAAACTGAAAAGCAAAAATAAATATCTATCTATAAATATCTCTCTTGGCATTTTAACTTCATTAAATGTACCTATTAATATTTTGTTTTTTGCGTCGGGAACTAAACTCTTAATATTACAAGCTACAACGTCCTGACTTATGATGAATAATTATAGCAATATTTCATCATAAAAAAGTAAAGTTCGTACGTATATCGTTATTTCCCTGACGTTATGCAAATGCATAATATGACTTTTTGTTGAATTAAATAATGTTTTTTGTTTTGATATCCTCTTTAATATTACCTACTCGTTATTAAAATTAATTGAGATAAGTATATTAAAAATCCAGATATTAGGCGTATACAATAAATGTGCACATCACAAAAACAGTATAACATGATATCAAATTATGATTTATAATTACTAGCGGGCAGCGGCTCACCTTCGCTCGGGTTCGCCTCTAGAAAAATAAAAACAAATCTATCCCGCGGGAACCGTACATTTTTCTGGAATAAAAAGTAGCCTATATGTTATCCTCATATATGAGCTATATTGTTAAGTTTCATTAAAATCTATTCAGTAGCTTTGTGTTGCGTTATGTGTTAAGGTTTTGTCATTAAACATTTTTGTAACGATACAACAATGTATGTATATAAACGTATGAAAGATAAACAATTTATAAAGATAAGCAAATGTTATTTCGATCGTAAAATTTGTTCCATACTATACTCTCTGTGCAATAGAGATAAGATAATAAAAATAAAATCAATCAAAATTTTTAAAAGAAATAACACTATATTATCTTTTATTATTTGATTTATATATTGATTGTTTTCGATAAAATCTTGCTTCGCTCGGGTTCGTCCCTAGGTGGGACGCAACTTAGACATACAAACTTTCACCCCCATTTCATTCCCTTAAGGGATGATTTCCGGGATAAAAACTCAAACTCTAACTCGGTTCAGTAGTTTTAGAGCCTATTCGATATAAACAAACAAACAAACAAAAAAAATCAAATTTTTCCTCTTTATAATATTAGAATAGATATTTTCTAAAACAAATATTAACGTATCATAAATTTTATTCTCACCATTATTACCATCGACACATTTTAATATCGACATTATTTCATTTAAAAAAATGTTGAATTAATAAGAAATAAAAAAATATAATTGAACAAATAGTGTTTCTTTTAAAAACACTTTGTGAGTATACGAGACTTTATTTCAGCGATGTCGTTATTGATTAATATTGGAAATTAACTGGTTAATGGAATACGATCGGTAAGATTAAATATATAATAATAATTAATTTTATAAAGTGTAAGAGTTTTAATACATTATTAAGGAAATTATGTAAGTCTGATATTATTTTATTGAGCAATAAATAATGTGTCGGATGATTCTGATCTAACTTCCTGATTGTTGTCGAAAACAAAGAGTTATTTATTAAATATACATTGTATATGTAGTTGCTTGAATATGACGTATATTCATATATATTTTTATAAAAAAAACCCACTAAATATTATTACCTTGTACATAATTTATGCATGTACCTGCTGAATTAGTAGTACCTATGTTGTCATTTTATGAATATTTTATATTTTAATTACAATATTACTTTAGAATTAAAATATATTATTTCAAACGCCAAGTTTGATACGTAATAAATTATTGTAGACATTTTTTGAAATTAAATTACAAAATTACACTAGCAAATAAATTTTGCTGTTACATAATAAGCAAGTATTATGTAATAGTTTATTTATGTAATACTAATAAAATAAATAAGTTTTAAACGCCATATTATCTATGTATGTATGTGCAGGACTCGGCGCGTACGAGAGCAGCGATGATAGCAACGAGGACGAACCAAACGACGTCTCCGATCAACAACTTCAGGTAATTATATTACAGAAGTAAAGAAGACACTTTAAACGATTCGCGTTTAATGTTAAAATTATTTTTAACATTAAAATTACAAGCATTATAAGGTACTTTGATCTCTTTTCTTTCATCATTATTGTATCATTTTGTCTTACACGTAAAAGGGGAATGCCCATACGTGGTTTCCTCTTTCCACGTCGTTGTGCCTAAACCAAATTAATATTAAAAACTAAGTTTTTAATTTTCACTAGCCATTGTAAAATACTTAGCCATAACTTCGACGGATAAAAATCCACATATTAAGCAGTAATTTATTCATTTCCGTTTTACTTGCAATTCCCAAATATTTTTTGTTATTGACATTTGAATTCTCAGTATTGCCATTTTCGTACGAGCGTATCGACTCACCAAAGTATAATCGATACATTTATATTTATTTTATTAAAATATCGAATTGGCAGTTCATAATAACATGTTAAATAATAAAGAAAATCAATTTTTATTTGATAATAATATGAGTTTATTTGATTAATCTATCTGAAAGTATCCTGTTTTAGTGTTTTGTCAATCAGAATCGATTAATCGATCTACAACTGGCAACAATGCGACATTCACTTGAAAGATGACAAATAAGTCAAATGTGAATCTGTTTCATTTTACTGACGAACCTACTTTCGTCCTTATAAGTTCGTTTGTTATTGTGTCAGTGCTTTTTGTTGTTTTCTTTCTATTTTCTTATAATCTAGAGTAAACTAAAGCATTCACTTACTTGCATTCAGATCATAATAAAACATTTACAGATAGTTAAAACTTCAAATGTAAATAAAAAACAAAATGAATGAAGAAGGGTAGAAAACCACTTTTGTTGTGACTTTTTTTTCATATTACCCGTCGAGCTAGAGATGCAGCGTTTTTTTAAATTAAATGTACACTAAGGAACCTACAAAATGTGGTAAATATCATCATGGCACAAAATTTTTGAAAGCGAAACTAAAGTCCATACTACGGTGGGCATTCTCCTTTTAGTCTCTTCCGTGACCATGTTGCAAGCATTCGAAATGTCAGAAGCAAAAACCCAAAATAAAACCACAACAAAAACCGAAAGATTGTGTTATATATACAGATGTTTAAATGAGTATTTTTGAGTGTTTTAAACACATTTTTCGGGCTAGCACCCTCTAATGTTAAATTTAGAGCATAACGTGAATATATAATCTGTATAGGAATTATTGTATGTGTTAAGATATAATCTATTTTTATGCCAAATTCAATCACAATTCGATCAACTACTAAACGTGGTTAAATAACCAACATCCTGACATCTTTATGAACTTTCATTTATATGTATAATACTAGCCACTCACCTTCGCTTCGCTTTGGGTTCGTCCCTAGTGAAAAATAAAAACAAATTATCCCACGGGAAACGTAATCTTTCCGGGATAAAAAGTAACCATGTGCTATTCCAGACTATAATATCTCTCTGTGCCAAATTTCATCCAGATCTGTTCAGCCGTACTAGCGTGATTGTGTAACAAACGTCCATCCAAACATCACATTTATAATATTATAATAATGGGATTATATCAATTAATATAGGGTTTATAAATATTTATACGTGATCGAATTTTATCTTCTACTTATTTAGTATTCCTTTAAAAGAAGAGAGTAAAACTTTTCTATTCTAATGCTAAGAAAAATCATTCGCGTAAGTTATCGTTTTAAAGCAACCGTTAGCCGTTACAGTTAAATTGAACGTAAACTGTTAAGATAATATAAAATGAAACACTATTAGTGTTTTGTATATAATTAAAAAAAGTTAAAATATTAATTTAGATTGTTATTATTTAAATTTAAAATATTAAGCAATAATTTATGAAACTTCGGAAACCAGAAATCAAAATAAATCCGCGACATAATCCAATAGGATATACTTTTAATGTCAAATATTCGCGTAAATCTAAGAAATGTAAATGTTTGTTTTTTCGTTACATTCATGTTTCTACGACATATACAATGAATTAGTCGATAGGTGTAGGAGCACAGACCTCGGCTCTAGTCTGTGACTCCTCACGCGTGAATGTGAAAGTGAAATGAAAGTGAAATGTGAATGATCGTAGGCGTCAACTTTTAAATGTTACCCTCTATTTTAAAAAATCGTAGGTAGTAGACAAATATGCGAATGTTATTTTTATTTTTTAAATTGCTTAAAAAAATCTAATCTTTAATTTTGGAGATATAGATTTTTTTATTATTAAAAAATATATGGGGCATTCCACGCCAAATCGGACGGTTTCAAAAAAAATATATTTTAGATTTACTTAATATTTCGGTATTTTTAGTAGGTACCCCTTAAAAGATGCTTCTTGGTAAATTTTGAGATTTTTGATAATTTAAAACTACATTATATCAAGTATAATGTATAATGAACTGCCTCGGTGGTGTAGTGGCTGGTATGTACGGCTACACACTCGGAGGTCCTGGGTTCGAGTCCCGGGTCGGGTCAAATTTAGTTATTGAGTCTTTCTGTATAGTAAGTCTCAGTAACAGCCCGGAGTTGGGAAGTTGGCGGTGTTTCACCCCCGTGCCTCGGAGAGCACGTAAAGCCGTCGGTCCTGCGCCGACACTCTCACTGGTCGTGTCGAGCAGTCGTCCCACCGGAGTATGAGAGTGACAGGAATAGGGAGTGCACGTTGTGTCTGCGCGTACACTTGTGCACTATAATATCTCCTGCGTAGTTGGATAGTCTTAATGAGATTGGCCGCCGTGGCCGGAATCGGCTAGGAGAACATCATCATCATATCAAGTATAGAGTGCCGCCAACATTTTGATTTCAGACCTTATTTGACTGGACTATGATATCTTATACTGGGTACTTAATATTTTGAGTATTGACTCAATATAACTAGGCCGAAAAGTTCGTCTATTGCATTTTCTTTGCATTAAACAACTACTGTAAAGTGCTATAAAATACGCATTCGGTACTCAGAAATGTATTTTATGTCATTCGATTTCCAATAAATTCAATATAAGCTAAAAGGTATTTCTGCAACCTACGGTCGTAACTTTTAATTGTGATTAAAATAAGAATAATGCGATTTTATAGATTTGATAGTATTTGATCCAGAAAATCTGATAAAATTTTCAACAATATCTGGCACTTAATCAAAATGCAATTTAATTCTCAAGACGGTTCATGATTTAAAAATGAAATATTTAAAGTAGATAGGTATCTTAAATAAATTCAATTCTTGAATAAAAATAGTATGTAGATATGAATATAATTAATAATTATATGTATAACTGTTATAAAAAACTTGACGAAATTATTTACGAAGGTCTTAATTCTTAAAAGAATTCTCAGTAATTAAAATAGAACTTACTTCAAAAAAGAAAATTACAAATATACTTAATTAGTAATTAAATGAACAGAATTTGTAATAATATACAAAATGATTTTAAAATTTATTTCATCTCTAAAAATATTACCTAACTTAAATAATACAAATATAAGACAATCTTATCTCAATCAAGTCTGGTCTCTGGAAGGCTAAATTTAGATTTCCCGTTGCGTCATCCGCCATCTTGAATTTAAGGGTTGATTGTTATTTATTAAATAACTCGTTTATTTTCAATTTTACACGAAAAATAGTTATTACAAAAGTCGTTTGAAATTAAATTTCCTACAATTTTGGTTATCATCATTTTTTTAGGATCGATATTTTTCGATTTATACCCGAAAAGAGGAGGTGAATTTTTGTTTATTGAACAACTCGTTTATTTTCAATTTTTCGCGTAAAATGGGCTATAACCGATTTCCAAAAAGGAGGAGGTTCCATGTTCGTCTGTATTTATGTGTTCAAGTATAGATTCGACTTACCTTCAATTCGCTCGGGTGCGTCGTCTTTCGTTTTTACAATGATGACGCGCAGACACAAGTGCACTCTCTATTCCTATCACTCCCATACTCCGGTGGGACGAGTGCTCGACACGACCAGTGAGAGTTAAGGCGCAGGACCGACGGCTTTACGTGCTCTCCGAGGCACGGGGGTGAAACACCGCCAACTTCCCAACTCCGGGCTGTTACTGAGACTTACTAGGAAGACTCAATAATTAAACTTGGCCCGACCCGGGACTCGAACCCAGGACCTCCGGGTGTGCAGCCGTACATGCTAGCCACTACACCACCGAGGCAGTTGCGTTTTTACAATATTAGGTAAATAAATGACTTTCAAAGGTAGTGGTAGCCCAGTAACGTATGTAAGTAACCCGCTCGCTTGGGAAACCGAGTGAAGCGGGTTCAAATCCCGGGTTTCGAACCTTCGATATCTTCATGTGCGAATAATTTCTAACATGATTACCACTTGTCTTACGGTGAAGGAAAACATCGTGAGGAAACCTGCATGTCTGAGAAAACCTAGCAAGTTTTCGAAAGACATGTGAAGTCCGCCAACCCGCACTTGGCCAGCGTGGTAGACTATGGCCTGATCCCCCTCGTACTGAAGGAAGACCCGTGCCCAGCAGTGGGACGTTAATGATAATAACGCTGAATACAAATGACTTTCAACATTTATAATGAAATTTAATAAATAAAATGTGTAATTAAAAATATTTGCTCACCAGGAAATTATAAAGCGCAAGAGGTTAGAATTCGAACGAACATCGCGGGAGATTGAAGCAGAGGTTCGAAAGGCAGAGTTGAAAGAGAGTGAAGAAGTTGTCGCCACTCCGGCAAATATTACGCCAGAGCGGCCACGGAGATCACGTGAGTTATAAAATATATATTTTTAAACTATCATTTTATTTATATTTTCATATCTATTGATTTTGATAAGTGAATGTATTTAGCATAATGGACTATTTATCTATAAATTTAAATCTTAACATACTTTTCTCAGAAAACCTTTTTGTTGTTTAGCAACTATTGAAGTTTAAATAAATTTTGAAACGATACGTAAAAGTTTATCGATGATTTACTTGCCTTTAATTATTTAGGATCGTCGGCAACGCCTCCGCCAGTCGAGAGTGAAACACCAGAGAAAAAAATCGAACATCGACCATCTAAAGATAAAAGACTAAATAATAAAATAACAGATAAAGTTGACGGTAAAAAACTAGATACCATCCAGGAAGAGAATTCAAAGAAATCTAATAAGCATGATAATACTCCAAGCCCCCAAAAATCTAACAAACCTAGTAAAGAAAGTACAAATTCGAGTTCAAGCGACTCCGAAGACGATTCGTCATCCAGCCAAAGCAAATCGTCTTCAGAGAGCGAACCCGAAGTTGTAAAAGTCGAGAACAGTCGACCTAAAAAACGCAAACGCAAGAGCTCGAGCTCGAGTGAATCACAAAAGAAATCTAAGAAACACAAAAAGGAAAAATACAAACCGACCGACAAACATTATTCCAGATCAAAGCACCAAGAGGAGTACGAGAAACCGGAAAAGACCAAGTCCAAGAAACGGGACGAATACTACGACAAACATAAGTCCAGGAGCCGCGAGTACTCGCACAAAGACAAGTATAGGGACGACTCGGACGACGACCGGCCGAGGAGGCGTTCGAAACGTTCCCGTTCAATTAGTTACGAATCGCGTTCCGGGCGACGGAAAAGTAGAGATCGCTCCGAAGACAGATCTCGTAGGCGTAAGCGATCGCGCGATAGGGATAGGTCTTCTTACGATAGGTCGACGCGCGAACACGACAAATACGATAAACACGATAGATACGATAGGTATGAACGCTCTAGGGACGACCGGCACGAGAGCTACTCCCGCCATCGCCGATGAACAGCAGGTTACAAATCGCACAGGTGGTATGTTTTCATTATTTTTCAATAGTTGTGTGTACCTCAAACATCAACCCTTGTCGATATAATATTCAATTATTCAACTTCCAGTATATTTTATCGTAGTCATCGTGTTTCAGTGAAGAAGACAGTTTAAATTTTCTAATTGTCGTGTGATCGACCTCTAGTTCGTACATGCTTTCATATTGCTACCTTAAACAAGTTAAAATAAATCGGATCTCAACTCACACCCTATTTATATAGAAGTTGTTGACTAAGAATGCTTAACTTGATACATCCAAAATGTAATACTATTCTTATAAAATATATTAACATTTAATATTATTATAATTTTATAAAAATATGTCAAATACATGTGTTACAATAAGTATTGTGAAATTGAGCATTCTTATTTGACTGAGTGACAAAGACTGTGATATATTACTCTTTTTATTTTCCTTACAGGTTCCTGTGGCTGATAGATTGCTTCAGATGTAAATACTTAGTGTATATTTAATTTGCATTAGTATGTAATAATTCCAATAAATTTTATTACTGACAAATATTATTTCATTTTATTACCTCTACACATGTATGTTAAGTACATAATAATGTAGTGTAGTTACACTGAATACTGAATTTAATTATTTCAGTGTTCAATAAAGTTAGGAGAAAATATTTAACTATAAAGATAATTTATCATTCATAATAAGCGGTCAGGATGTAATTAAAGCAATAAATATATCAGCATATAACTTATATTCATTTTTACAAATATGTAACTATCTACAATTATGTTCATATTGTACAATAAATAGTTTCCTTGCATGAGACATAATTTGATTACTTTCACATCACTGCAATAAAAAATGGTGAATTTTAAAAATTAAACCATACCAGAAGTTCGAATGCATGACAAGAAAGTATTGAATGATAGTCTTTATACTAATCATGATAACAATTTAAAAGCTCTATTTCATTATAAATCAATCACCTCATGAATCACAATATAAATTATTATTTACTATGACTTAGGCCTAGGGTTTGGTATTTTATTTTCCAAACCTCTGATCACATTTATTATATTTATATAAAGCACCTAAATAGTTGTTTATATTTAAATTACTATCAACAGAAAGCTGTACAAATTCTGTGAGCCTTATTTGCCAAGGTAAAAAACCAAATGTACAACATAAAGTTCCAGTGTACAAAACCAAATCAGGATCTGGCACTGCTGGATTTATTTGTTGAAGAGTATCACCAAACTCTTGCACAGTAAACTCTTCAGAATTCTTCTCGCATTTAAGTTCCCCTTTGGCTATGAGTTTTATACATTCTGATATTCTTGGCCTTCCATCATTAGAAGAAAATATATTTACAAAGATTGTGTTGGACTGTATACCATTTGTATAACCATTAAGATCAGGTTTATTGGCCCATTTAATACATCCTGGAATGCCTTTTTTGTTTTTCTCTATTTCTAAAAATAATTCTTCTTCTCTTTTCTTTAAATTACCTATAAAAAAAACAATATGAATTTATTTTAGTTATGAATTTACTTAATATAGCTTCATTTTATCAAAAATAAAATATTTTTTGTAAATTACAAATTGTTCAACAGAACAACAAGACAATTCATATTTACCTGTAATATCATGAAAACTAATATATGGTACTCCAATAACAAGACTCCAAATGACCAGCTGAGCCAAGTCATTCATAGTATGAACATTGCTGTCTGCCAACACCACTAAATGCTTTAGCTTGTTTTTCATATTAGACACATTTTCCAATAAAGTAAGAATGTCTCTTTTGGTCACTTGTTCTTTAGGTAAGTTAGACTTTTTAACACTGTATCGGCGATATGCATTCTGGACAGCAACAAGTATCGTCACTACCAAATGTACGAGGATAAACAGAAATTGTCGAATTGGTTTCGTCAACATGGTCAATAACAAATATTACAGTAAATACTTTATTTGGCCATTTCATATCGCAGAAACGAGTGACCAATTGATCATTCTTTCACAAAATATTATTCATAAAATGTGATAAAATCATTATATCGGACCACAACTCGTCAATTTCAACCGCTTTTGTATAACCAATCACGAGCACATATGTGTAATGACAGGATAACCAACATTACATTGGCTACGTTCAGGAATTTGAATATAATTTAAAGTTTAAACTAAAGAAATTGGAATTTGGAAATAAATCTTTTTTAAAACTATGTTGCACACGCGGGCGACTAGCTCACTAAACTAACTAAATGTAAAGAGCATTGAATTCGATGTTAACTTTTTATATGATTTTTTGATGATAATAACATTACTCATTTAGTGTCTTGTTTTTCTTCTCATGAAAAATAGTAAGTAATTTTAGGTAGCATTGAATTGCAACATAATGAAAAATACATTTATATTGATAGCAGCTCAGAGTATGCTTATGCTATATAGCGCGCGTATCGCTCATTCACCTCATTGTCCATTAAGCGAAACGTAAGCAGGTGTTCTATACACACCTATCAATACATACTTGTAGATGAAGCGGTTAAATAGTGATGCACCTAGTAAAACTTTTAGAATTTAATTAAAAAAGCAGTACATTAACATAAACTATTTAACATAACCATTTATTCACGCACATATGGACTTTATTATCTAAAATTATAGTATTTCAAATTAATATCTTTCATTTGTAAATCTATGCAGTAATAGTGTTGCTTAATATTTAGATTTTTAAATAATAGTAAACTGAATTAAAATTATATATTATTCTTTTTAACTTTTTACGTTCCATAATTAGATAATAATTACACTACGGGACTTAAACTCAAAATTACAGGAATTAAAGGTGAATTCACGCGTTTAAATTCGTAATGTAATTATTATTTTTAATTAATTTTAAAATTTTAAATATTTTTAATTTCACATAGAACAATAATGTGGCTTGAATAATTCTTTTTTTTATGTTTATAAATATAATAATGACAACACTAAATTAGTCATCTTGACAAATTAATAAAGTTTTCTAATATTCCATGCAATTATAAAACTTATTAAAATTATAAAAATGTTTAAAATTAAAATTAAGTAATATTGTAAGGTACTTTGGTGCCATTAAAATTTAAAGGTTTTATTTTTTACAAATACAAATGAACATAATTTATAATATTCTTAATTTATACAAAATATTCGAGTAGTACAACGTGGTGCAACACTAGCTCTAGCTTGTTGAACGAGGGTACGTAAGAAGCGGGGGGCGCGGAAGCACGTGTCGAGCCGCCCGCACGCCTCCCGCAACACCCGCTTACGCATGTGTAATTTTGTTAAAATCAGCGTTTTCTGATTAAAATAGTATTTACCAATGAAAAGAAATATCTTTGTTTCTTTTAGTTTGCTTACGTGAATCAGTTTTACAGCTTGAAACTGCACATTTCACCATGATTACAACATTCAAGTAAATACCGATGAGAGAAACAGTCAGCGCGATTGACTTTTCGTGACTAATAGCGTCGCCCTTGACATTTTGAGACTGCCCGTGTTCATACCCGTGCTTACAGTTCATACTTGCTAGAGCGCGCTCTATAGCTTATGTATACTCTAAGTTTACACCTTTTGACAGGTGATAAACACACAGCGCCCTCTGCCCAAAAGTTTTCATTAATCTTCCTCAGGAAAACGGGAAATTTTTCTAGTGGTAGTTTCTAGACTACTATGTAAAGTAATATATAGTCTAGAAGTTCGATTTAACAGAAACAATAAAAGTTCTAATTTATCAATTATCGCCTGTTGATTTTGAACTTTACATGAAAACGCGAAAAAAACGACAAATATAATGTTTCACAGCTTTCGTTTTTTAAATGTTTGTTACAAACGTAACAATGGCGCCTTCTACGCGTAACTAATTGACAGTTTTCTTCTCCAGTATACTAATATTAGAACTAAAGCGAATTTTTCAACTACAGCATCGCTACGCACAATCGAGCACTTTGAAAAGTACTGCTTTGGTGTGACCAACAAATTTTGTAGCAGAAAATTTGTGAGTGTTTTTTTGTTTTGTTCGTGTTTGTGCGCCAAAGTGCTCATCTCCAATACAATAAAACATGTAATTATATAAAAAAAAGCGGAATAATTTAAAAATTATTTTTTAATTTTTGTTAACATTTTTATAACTATAATAATTTAATATAAAATAAAAAAAAATATTAAGGGTTTTTAAGCGTAATGCTATTTTATAGATATTATAAATAATAGAAAAAACTTATACGCTTATCCGAGTAATTCGAGATATCCGGTTCCTGTTCGGCCATGATTGTTTCTTTCGATTGTCAGACATAGCTGATAGGTTAGTTTAATTTTGTTTTTTTAAATAATTCAATTGAGTATATGTATTTGATTTAACCAAATACTGTTTAAATTGACTTTTATTGGTAAAACCATGATATTGTGTTATTAATTTATCTGTATACTCTACGAAATGTAATTATTCATCAATGAAGTAAGGCCACGCCGTAATAAGATGTTCATGGTATTCTTTCAGAAACCTCAAGATGCAGTTGCACATCAGAGGACAGTCTACCCACATTCTTGATGTCAATGGAGAAGAGTCCATTGCTCAGATTAAGGTAAATTTTTCATTACTTAGAACATTTTTATTCTTGTCAAAAAATTTCATGTTATTGCCCCGCAACATAACCTCTAATGAGGTATTTGTTTGAATTTTACTTTTGGTATTTAATTAATGAAGTTCATTGTTTGGTATTATTTAAATAATTATAGCCAAGATTTATGTAATAATCTTCTGAAGTCGTAAAAATACTTATTGATAGTAAATAGGCACTTATTATGCTTCTCTTATCAGAATATTAATTACTTTATCATTCTATAAAACACTTATTGTAGGAGCGCATCTGTGCCCTGTCTGACATTGGAAATGAAGAGATCACTTTATCAGCATGTGGGTCTCCTCTCGATGATGGTCTCCTAGTATCTGAATTGACTTCCACAGAATTGGATCTAACAGTGCCATTGCTTGGTGGTAAAGTGCACGGTTCCCTGGCTCGTGCTGGTAAGTTATTATCATTACAAGTTTGCTTAATTTTCTAGAGAAATTTAGAAATTTAAAGTTAGAACTCAGTTTTAGAAAGAAAATATTATTTATCAGTATAAATTTATGTAAATATATAAAAGAAATAATCTTATATAGTTTATATTATTAAAAATAAACATTAAAATTTTACGACTTTTCGTCTTCTTCTGGCCTTTCGGCCCATCTTTATTTAGGGTTGGCTCTCCTAATCATTTTTTTCCAAACACGTCTCTCCTGGGTCATCCTTGGGGCAACATTGTTGTTTTCCATGTCTTTCCTAACTATGACTATGGTCAAATTTTTATTAAGAATCTAATGAAGTTTTTTATAAAAATTGATCAAGTTGTATCTGATTTTCAGGTAAGGTAAAGGGGCAGACACCTAAGGTTGAAAAACAACAAAAGAAAAAGAAGAAGACTGGCCGTGCCAAGCGTAGGATCCAATACAACAGAAGGTGAATTTATAGTTTTTATAAGGAACTTTTACCAAATTACATGTTTTGAAAATATTTCTATAATCTATAAAATCAAATAAATAAAAAAAGCTTGTAATAAATGACAGTTTGCATTAATATCATAAAGAGGCATCAATCAAAAAAGTTCTAGATACACAATCCCATATAAGTTCTCTTAAAACTGTCACAAATTGTGTTTAGGTAATTATTTTAGTTGAAATTTATTTCAAATAATATATCCTTACTAATATTAAAAATGTGGAAGTGTGTTTCTTTATCCTTCTTTCACGTTGAAATGAAGAGTAGGATTGGCGTGATTTTTTTGTGTCGAGATATTTGAAGGGCTGGAGAATGACATAGGCTACTTTTTACCACGGGAGATGATCTCATTCCCACGGCAAAACATGTTATAATACAATCCAAAAAAATATTTATGATCATATTTACTTGAAACTTTGTATTAATGCTCTTTAATAAAATTAAATACATACATGCTTTCGCATTTTTCGAAATTCATTGTATAAGGTGGTAAAATAGGGGATGAAACTTTGTTTGAAAGTACCTTTTTAGATATTTTATTATAGTTTTAGCTCAAGCGAAGCAGCGGGTTCTGCTGTTTATAATATAAATATTTGTATATTTATACAACAATGGAAATTAAACCTCAAATGCAATACTTAAAGTTGTTATCACAAAATTTTTTAAACTAAAAGCATGTTCAAATAAGCACTCATTCGGTGAGGACATCTTTTGTCGCTGATTGTGTATCTAGTGATTTTTCGATTGATGTAAAGAGGCACTTAAATGACTTAAAATATATGTAGAAATATGTACAAATGGAAAAACATATAGACTACTTAATTATATCATGGTAAATAAATCTATTTTGACAGAATATTAACAAACATATACCTAATGATGATGTTGTTACTTCTATAGTAGTTTATTGCATTGTTATTTTAATGTTAATTATGTACTTATGTAAAATGTCATTTAAAATTGTTTCAGATTTGTCAATGTTGTCCAGACCTTCGGCCGTCGTCGTGGACCCAACTCCAACTCTTAAAATTTATGTATTGTAAATAATATGTTGCAAATATAACATCTGGTTTGCTCCAATATTTGTTTTATTTCTCTTCCCTCAATTGGGCTCATAATCTATATAAATAAAAATGAATCACCGAAATGTATGTATGTGCATAACTTCTGATCGACTGCACCAGATTGGATAATTCTTTGTTTTTGTGTTTGATATTGTCAGGACCAGTTTTGTATAGAAGATAATTAAGGGAATTTTTTTTTACTAAGTTAAGATTTTTTTGAAATCTTATGAAAAGTGAGTTAGTGAAATAGTGTTTATCTCGGAAATTATCCCTTAAGAGGGTGAGAATAGGGATGAAAGTTTGTATGTGGAAGTAAGCTAGGGGCAAACCCGAGCCAAGCGAGGGTGAGTCGCTAGTATGTAATATTATTTATACATGTTAATGTTGAATGAAACCCTACAAAGTAAAATTATATTGTTTCTAAAGTTTTATCTATATACTATATTAGCGTGTGCGCCCCGGCGCAGTGTATACGTAAATCATATGCGCTAATCAAAAATTGTTGAAAAGTATTTAAAAGTGACTATTAAAGTGAACTTCTACTCTAAATTGAACTATATATAATTAAAATTTAACTACATGGCGTTAAAAAATAATATATAAGTGTTTTTAGTGTAAAGAAACAATAACAAAATAAATTTCGAGGAACTTAAAAACCTACTGTTTAGAAGTGTTTAACTAAATCTTATTAACTATACGCTGTATGTTTCCCAATGATAAATAAATAAATAAATAAATATTAGCCAGTCACCTTTGCTCTGCTTGAGTTCGTCCCTGTGATATTTTCCTGCAGTAAAAAGTATCTTATATCACAGATCATATAATACTATACTGGTCTTATAGTTTGACCCGTATAACTAGATATCAAATTTCATCAAAATCTGTCTGGTGGTTTTCTCGTGATGCGTGCCGAGACTGACAAAAATTCTAAAAACTATAGATTCGGCTTCTGTATAAATAATAATGACTATTTCAATAAGATTAACCAAAAAATATTTATAATGTACATATTTGACTTAGAATTTTATTATAATATATTATATAGATATAAAAATCATTTGCCATTCATTAGTCTCGCTAAAACTCAAAAACTGCTAAACCGATTTGAATAATTCTTTTTTTGTTATGTTGGCCCCCAAGCCTTGGGATCTCATCACGAAAAGAAATTAGTTTAATTAAATGTCAATAGATGGCATTATATGTTTGTGTAAAATTAACAAAGGTAATATCTCAAAAAGGTATAAGATCGTTTTAAAAAATATTTTAAGTGAAGTAAAACGTAATAAAATTTGTGTGCTCGTAAATCAAATTTGCTTATTTTTTTGATTATTGAAAAATGAACAATTAAAAAATATTATAAGTAATGGTTTTATGGTGCATATTCATAGATGGCACTTTTATTTAAATGAGTTGTTTATCTCGGTAAAAAATTGTTAAAGTCACTGAAATTTGTTTAATAATATACAGAATCAATTTTACAATATTTATCTTATGTTGGTTTTACATATTAACATAAAACAGTTTAACTACTTGCGGATCAACGACATCTATTATTAACTGTTGAATGAAACAAAAATCATTAATTCTTTGTTCCTGATAAAATCTCGCGCAATAACCTATCGATAGATATATACGCCATCTACTAACGAAATTATTTTTACTTTTTTATGATACATTACCAGAAGTAATAAAAAATTGATACATATAACGCCATCTATTGAAATTTATTTGGATTAATTCCAAACAAAACAATCGGTATGTACAACCATGGGGTCCTCAATAGTTGGCATTACATCTATCGATTTGTTATTAATCTAAAATAATATTTGATAAGAGACAGTGGTAGCCCAGTGGTAACGCGCTCGCTTGGCAAACCGAGTGAAGCGGGTTCAAATCCCGGGTCTCGCACCTCTGATATTTTCATGTGCGAATCATTTCCAACATAATTACCACTTGCCTTACGGTGAAGGAAAACATCGTGAGGAAACGTGCATGTCTGAGAGAACCTAGCAAGTTTTCGAGAGACATGTGAAGTCCGCCAACCTGCACTTAGCCAGCGTGGTGGACTATGGCCTGATCCCCCTCGTATGTAAGAGAGGCCCGTGCCCAGCAGTGGGACGTTAAAAAGGGCTGAATACAATGTTTGATTTGTAAATTATTTTTAAACAGGTTATATAATGGTATTTCGGTTATGGTGTCTCATTAGAATTAAAGAAAAATTATTTCAAATAAATAAAAAGTCAATAGGTGGCATTATATTATGAGTATCCGTTTATATTGAAGTTTGTGTAAAATTACCTAACAAACGATAATAAATACATAGTAGAAAGATGTATGGCTTAAAAAATATTTAAAGAGAAAGAAAACGAAATAGTGTGCTCGAAAACGAAATTTTGGTAATATTACAAATTATTTAAAAATCAGCAATAATGTAATGGGTTTATTTTATACTGCATATTCACAGATGGCGCTTTTATTTTACTATATGAGTTGTATAAACTTTTAATACAGGAATAATAGGTATATTATATAAAAATCAATTGCCGTTCGTTAGTTTCGCTAAAACTCAAAAACGGCTCGACCGATTTGAATAATTCTTTTTTTGGTTTGTTGAATATGTGTCAACTGTCGGGGTAGTTTAAGTAAAAATTAAGGAAAACCTAAAAACAGCTGGAAAATCGAAAAGTTTAAAAGTTAAAACGTACATAGGGATGATCCCAAGCGAAGCGAGGGTGAGTCGCTAGTAATTAACAAACTAAACTAAAATTTTAGTTTTCAAATATTTATAAAATAAGCTAGTTCCCCTGAAGCAAAATTTGCGGATCAACGACATCTACGTATTATTTATTATTTATTTTCAAGCAAACAAAAATAGCCCGAATTATCTCTGTCCATATTCTTCGTAAGAGATGGGGGTATATGTTTTAGTATAGTAATATCAGTTATGTTATCTATGCTTTAGATAAAGGAAAATAAAATAATGCGATCATAAATCAAAAGTTCTCGTACTCACGAATTTTCTCGCTTAAGAATTAAAAGGCACTCATGGGAGGCAGGCGACCAATCTCTATGAGCGTTGAGAGCTGTCCCACGAGTGTTGTTCCTGGTGCTTTTCTGATAGCAAAGTGGAGTGGAATGTTGCAGATGGTATGAAGTTACCACAAATCTCAAAGTCAGGCGAACTAAACGGGTGCATGGTTGGGAAGCAGTCTGCTTTTCGTTCGGGCGCCAATTCTTGAGACGTGGTTGAGCACGAGGGTAATCATGTGGTGCGCCTTTAGATGCGTAAGCTTTCGTTAAGTTTCAGGGAAGTGGTCATTAGCGTACAGCAATCCAGCCGGGCGCGAAGCCGAGAAACACACCCCATTTTCACCCCCTTAAGGGATGATTTATGGGATAAAAGTATACTATGTCCATCCCAGGGTTTCAAACTATCTTCTTACCATATTTCATCAAAATCGGTTCAGTAGGTCCAGAGATTGCCCCCTAAAACGTCACAAACTCACAAACTCATAATTCACAAACTTTACCTCTTTATAATATTAGTAGGTATAGATACATAATTGGAATAGTTGACACTGTACGGCGGAGGCCCACAAAGAGGGCTGATTTATTTTTATATCTTTATATTTAAGAATTTTGTATAGAGTTCAAAAGGGCGAAAGGAGGTTATCAATTCGACGCTCTTTAATAATTAATAACTTTTTTTAAATAAAGGAAGATATTTTTAGATATGAAATAAAAATACAGAAATTAACAACAAAAGTATTATATTTAATACGAATTTGCTGCGGACGTAATAAACTTTATAATTAAAAAGATTACACCTGCTTGGATTATATTTCTAAAACAAATCTTGTAAAATAAAGCAAGCAGGCTTACATCTAATCTTGGCACTGTGGCATATATTTGTTCACAGGTTCAATAATTTTAAGTCTAAAAACCATAGTCATAATAAAAAAATGTATTTTATTGTGTAGGTTATTCTAAGTTCTATATCAACGAATTCACCAAAATAATTTTCATATATACAAATAAAACTCAAAAGAGGATCAAAATTGACCAGAATGGTTTGAATAAAGCTTAAGTGTACTGGATGCGGTCTACTTTAGTTTGTGAAATATAAGCAAATATTGAATAATTAAAAAAAAGTTCAACTATAATTTTTAAGGTTTGATTTAACTTAAATTAGAAATACATATATAAGATTGAGATTTTTTTTTGCATATATTTTATATGGCAAATGTTGACATAGAAATAGTTTAAAACTACAGCTTACGGCCATGACTATGATTTCTTATCGTACATATTACATAAAGACCACAGCCACAGTCGTATTCCTTAATCTAAACTTGATTACAATAAAGGATAAACTAACATAAATATAATGTATAATGGGTATTTGGAACTTTATCATCTTACATCGGTTTTGGTTGACAAAACCTAAATTTAGGTATCTAAAATATAAAGTAAGTATCATTTCATACAATAAGGCACAAACATTGATAACAACTAACCTACAAATTACGTAATATAATAAAATCACTCATTTTGCACACATGCATATAATAATAACAATAGCCTTAAAATACGTACCTCTACTTCAGGTATGTTTAGGGTACACTCTCGTTTGATATAATGGTAGGTTCACATCTGTTCGTGGCGAAATTTAATACACATTTTGAGATAAAATTTCGTCATCGATGCGCAGATGTGGCCGCAACCTTACGTAGCACCACACAATGACGGAAACGACGTTACAATTGAGTTGTATTGTATTTTAATATGAAAAGTGTTTCAACAAATAATCCCACAGTTACGTTTACACCTATATAGTTTATTAAAAAAAAAACAGTAAATTTTGTAATTTTACAATGTTTAAAATATTTATTTAATGTGAGTTTACAATTATAATATTTTTAAATGATTAAAATATCATTAAAAAGTTATATAAAAATATTTTTTAATTATTTTTACGACAAAAATATCAGTTTCAAACCATAGTACCTACAATGTATTGCACAAGTTATTTATAAAGAACGAGCTTATTCACAAATTGTAACACATGTTATAGAATAATGCGAGTGTAAACGTCGTTCAATTTCGTAAAGTTCCGGCTATCGTCAAATGTATTGTATCGTTATATCCCTTCCCACGTGAATATTTCATTGATGCATGACTTTAAAATAGGATAAAAATGATCAAATAAGTGCAATTTATACACTTATGTGTTCTTACTAAAATATGTATGTTCAATATTTATATTTCGAGTCTTTGTACTTCAAATATAACTAAATCTATTTTAAATGCATATTCAACTCAAAATTAAACCCTGTAATTTTACGCTACAGTTTCGCCAATTTCACTGCAAATACGAGTAATTAATGATTGTACAGTTAAAAGAACATATTGTGTTCATATCATGAAATCGATATTTACCTATATTGAAAATATTTACAATGACTACACATGTGTGTAACAAGTATGGCAAGTATGTGATGTTTTAAGTACAATATTCATGTATAAAAATATACTCACGTATTTGTATATAAACTCAGAGAGCATTTGATTCGCTACGATATACCTACATTTCTGTTATAAATGTACAATAATAAGTACAGATTAATGTATTTCATTATAAATCTACGCATCTAAAATCCATAGGATGTAAATTTCCTATGGAAAAAAATATGTATATCCCAATAATAATTATTATAGTACAGAGAAATCTCATGTAAAGTATTTAGGGTATAATAAAAGTGGAAAGTACACGGCAGTGTCACGTGAAAAGATAACAGATTAAATAAACCAATGCAAGCGTCCTAAAACGGACCATAGACCATAACATACAATTTAAGACAATTCTTCTGACAAACGTCAGATTGTAAAAGTTAATCGAAGTTATCACCTTATCTTCGTAAAATATAGTTTTACATATTAATAATGTATTTACACATTAGGTGACGCAGCCAATTTATTTCTAGATTTTTCCCATCGACTTATAAAATCTACCGGGTAACACATAAGAGCTGACAAGAGAAGGAAACCGCCTGACACGTAGAAGGAAATATCGTAGCTCTTGGTTAAATCCATAAGGGCACCTGAAAAAGATAAAAACGTTGAGATATATTTTTTTGGGACAAAAACAAAATTAATTAATACTTTTGAAGTAACTAATCAGTTGTACATAAAAAAATAAAAAGAAAAATTCTATATTATTTCGTCTAATTTATAGTTAAAGTTTTTCTTAGACGTAACAATAAATACAATAGAGATCACAATATATGATAAAAACAAGAGCAAACAGCAAAATATGTAAAATAATAAGAAAACAAATAAGTAATTGTTAGAGATTTAACATTTTAAAACTTACACAATTTGTTTACTTACCAGCAATAGGCGAACCCAATAAAGCGCCAAAGCCTTGGAAAAGTAAGAAAAGTCCAAAGCAATTCGTGAGTTGCTCCAAACCGATGTATTCCACGACAAGAATAGATCGAAGGGATGCGAAACAAGCTGAAAATAAAATATGATATATTTTTAACTTGTTTTTTTTTTTAATATTTTAAATAAAACTATTTTTTCGGATTTTTTCGCGAATTTATTTTGATTTTTGGTTCCCGACGTTTTATTTAAAATGTCAAATAATCGCGTAAATCTAAGAAAGTATTAGTAGTTTTCCGGAATAGGTTAATACTTAGGTATTTACCTATTCCGGAATGAGAGAAATCCAAAAATTCAAATATCATAAAAATTGGTCCAGCCGTCGAACGGGCTTATAAATAGTGTAACTAACACGACTTTCTTTTATATATATAATATAAGATATAAGATTTATAGAAACGGCTCTATCAGTTTCGCTGAAATTTTGAGTGTGGGGGTTTTCGGGGACGAAAACTCGATCTAGATAAGTCTTATGTCTGGGGAAACGCGTGTTTTCGAGTTTTAATGCGGTTTCCTTTCGGGTTATTCCACGCAAAATATGGTCGCAATTTCGCACACTCGGGTATATGTACCGTGGTCCAAAGCCCAAGATTGATAATCACAGGTGTCCGAATTCGAATCCCGGTCGGATACAAAGTTTTTACTTTTGTATTTTTTTTGTATCTATACAAGTTTTTATTTTTTCTTTGTTTTTAAGCCAAATTAAAAAGAAAATTGTACTTTTGGCCAAAAACACCGAGCGAAGCTCACACAGGTACTGGTAAATAATGTGATCTATATCATATAAACCATTATACCATATAAAAATCTCTACTAATATTATAAAGAGGTAGAGTTTGTTTGTTCGAACGCGCTAATTTCAGGAACTAATAATCCGATTTGATATAGGATATATATTATTATCATGCTACTACCCAAGGGAGCAGAGCAGTTATCTATACACAGTAGTTCGAGAAATCTTATGTAATCTAACATGGGGGTAGGGGGAGTCAAATATGGCCAAAATTGTCCTTACGATATTAATGAATGGCCCCTTATCTATAAAGCCATTTACAATAGATACATGTCGCTTTGTAGCAAAATATGATGAAAGAACATTTACAATAAAAACAAAGAGCAAACTCACCAATAGCCAATCCAAATACTCCGCAATACGAGAACTGGAACACATCATGGTAGGAGAGTCCACTCATTATCGTTGCTATTCCTCCCGCAGATAACGCTATGTTATTTAACCATAAGGGCGATACTTTAGGCATAGACGACACTAAACCACACGCGATACGACCGACTATATTCGTCACTGCTATCGCTGACACTAACATCAAACTACTGGATTCACTAACACCATTCAATTCCGCCCTTTCCTTCACGTACATGAACGGCACGAAAAATCCGAGCATTGTGAAGAAACCGCTAATTGCCAATATAACAAATGTAGGTGATCTGAACAAACTGACGTCCAACATGGTTGCTAAAGCGCGTTTCACTGCTTCGGGGCATAACTTGCATTTTCCAGAAATTTCTTCACGTTTCTCTTCCTGGGTTGGCACGTGTGTTACGTGTAAATGGTATCCCAACGACGTTCTAGATGTATATTGGGGTAATCTAGCCAAACTGCCTCCAAAGAAAATGTCGTCCCTATAGAAGGGTCTCGCTACTAAATCTACATTAGAACGTCTGTTGTTATTGGTAACAACTTTAACTGATTCTGCAATCAGAGGTTCTGCGTTATTACTGTTAGAATCTTCTTGTTCATCGTTCTCAGCGACGGGTGTTGCGATGAAATGGAATGGTTTATTCTGATTTTTTAAAGTAGAAGCAGTCGCAGAGGATCGTCTGGTTAAATGTGAATTTGATCCTTTGAAAATTTCCTCTGCAGTTGGATATCTAGTGTTATTTGCCACTCCCATCCAAGTATGTGGACTGACTTTATTTGTGAATCTCATTTCTGGAGGCATTGATATACCGGAGTCAAGTTTATTGTGGAGTTTAAGCATGGAGTTTAGTTTCTCCACTGCTTCCTCATGTCTACGAGTAGTGTCTTCCTCTTGTTCGTCCGCTAAGGTCACACGGACTGGGTTTATTGGTCTGAACATAGCTCCGAATATAATGCACAGCAGGACGAAACCTGAAAAATAATAGATATGTTATTTTTTATTTCATTACTTATTATTATTTGTTTTAGGTAATATTTTAATTATAATGACATTTTGATGAGAATAATTTTTCACAAGTACAAAATGCACATATATCCAAAAGAGACAATTTTATGTACTTATATTCTATGCATATAACTATATATTTAAATGTTGATCGTGATAATAACTACAAGGTACTAAATACAAGTTAGATTTACCGTTTAATATACGGGAACATAAGTTCGCAAATTTGCTTTTCGAACTCTACATTTTTAGTTTATGATGTTTATAATAGTTCCTACACTTTTTAAGCAAGAAATATATGTATATATTATTATTGTTAAAACCATTATCTAGTATTATGATAAATTCAAAACACAATTTTAATTACTTCACTCGATGGAAAACAATTTTAAGAGTCTCATTTCACTCATCTCAACCAATTTTAATTACCTTCTGCAACGTATTACTTGTTCAACGAACCTGACAATTCATTTATAAAATTTTATTAATATTCAAATGGCAATTTGATGTCGTTACTAAACCAAAAAATCACGTAAGACAATAAGGTAAATCAAAGTATAATACGTAAAGCCATATATCGCTTAGTGGGCGGGGGACTTTACCCTCTTGTAGAAAAACTGTGTTACACCAATGGCTCTTTAAAAAAATAATTGCGTGTTATCTTAACGCGCGGTAGAAGTGAAACTTCTTTGGCGCTGTGGCAGATACCGCAATTACATTAAAACAAATCAAAATATGAATATATTATTTTTTTTAAAATTATTAGTAATAAATATTCATTTTTAAAAGTAATAATTACTTATTATAAAATTATTAATAATAAATATATATTTTTATAAATAATATACAATACTTATTGTAAAAATATCATATATTTTCTTTAATTATAAAAAAAAAATTGACTCTCACTTCTGCGACACACATTTATCTTATGTATTTACTTACCCCTGATGTGTAAAGAAATTGTACCTAAAGAAGTTTTATGTATTTAAAAAATAAATGTAAGCGAAACCAACCTGCATGTATAACTAGTGTAACCCTCCATCCCACGCGCTTGATCAGTATGTTAGTTAGTGGTGCAAACACGAACGTCCCGACGCCCGACCCGCACAGAGCGAGGCCGGTCGCTAGAGCGCGCCACCGCTCGAAGTAAAAGCCCACCGTGAGAACCGCCGGCATATAGATCATACAGAATCCTATACCTGAAAGAATTTCTTATTATATTATAGTCATCTTGACAGATTTTGGGCCACGGCGGCCTATCTCACTCAGACTTGTCAACTGCACAGGAGATATTATAACGCACATGTACTGCACACGTTGACTCAACTTTCACTCTCTATTCCTGTCACTCTCAAATTCCAAAGGGACTACAATTCGAGACTGGCGGTGAGAAATCTGGCGTAGGACCAACGGCTTTACGTGCTCTTTTTGGCACTGGTGAAACACCTCCAACTTTAAAACTTAGGGTAGTTACTGAGTATATATTTCTTAACAGAAAGACTCAATGACTGAACTTGGCCTAACTCGGGACTCAAACCCAGGACCTCCGATCTGCACCTACTGGATAACCAAAGCAGTTTTCTACCGAGCCGAACAACGAGTTCAATATTAGTTATTGAAATAGTAAGGTACTTTGGTGCCATTTAGTTTTTCTTCAAAATTAATGTCTCAATTTGTGAGTTTTTAACTGACACTGTTTGCAATAACTATATAATAACTTTTGGGACGTAGAAAACTTTAGTTTTGTCCTGCGAGAAAGATTGCTGAAAAGCATCCGAAATATTGGGAACCAAAAATCAAAATGATTCAGCGAAATAATCGTAAAACTAGTTTTATTTAAAAGTGTCTATTTTATTTTCAAGAGTTAGGTATATAAATAAATACTACGAAGAATTTAACATTTTTCCTTATATTTATTAATTTTGTTGTCCTTATAAAACCACAGTAATTAGGTTTTATATATATTATAGTAAAAAAATTACATGGAATTAAATTAAAAAAATTGCAATTGACGTATAATGTATTTTTTCCTCATGAAAGGGGAATTATTTAATTTGCCTTATGTCATTAGGGCGGTAGCAGGAAAAGACTTATTTAAAAAGACATCACACGAGTATAATTGGTAGCGGGGTTTTATAAATACTTGGATTTTTAATAGAAATATACAAAAAAGGAAAACATGTACATTTATTTAAGAGATAAAACTGAAACATACCTCCCACGACTCCATAAACGAGATAAAGATACTCGACACTTGTAGCGAAATAGGAGAGAGCGAATGCGGCGCTGGATATTAAACTGCCAACGATTGTTACCGCCCGGAAACCATATCTGAAAGGAGAATTATATGTTCATTTTCATTTTGTTACATTACAATAACTGATCAAATAATAATATGTGTATTGTCCGATTTCCTTAGGAAGAGCTTTGACATCAAATTATATTGTCGTTAAAATATTTATAAAGAAATTTATCTTCTTATAAATAAAAATGAATGGTTAAATGAGCAATGAATGGATAAAAGCGCAAGACTCGAGAACGGCTGGACCAATTCGGCTAATATTTTTTTCAAATATTCGTTTAAGTCCGAGGAAGGTTCTTACGAAGAGAAAAATTGGAAAAATTTCACGAAAAAACATAAAAAAACATATTTTCCTCTTTCTTTACTTCATAATAATTATGAACGCACCCTTAAAATTAATATAAACTTCATATTTCAATATATCTGTAAATTGGACGCTTTCTCTTTCTACGATATACCTACAGTTTGACTTTGTTTGTTTATCCCTTTTTCTCGCAGAAACAGAGTGTTTGGAGTCATTTTTTGTGTGGAGATAGTTGGAGGGCTGGAGAATGACATAGGCAATTTACCGCGGGAGATTATCCTATGCGACGGAAAACATATTATTTTTTATATGTTATTCCATACTAACCGTTAAAACGTACCTAGGAATGATCCCGAGCGAAGTGAGGTTAAGTTGCTAGTATTTTAATTTATGTGAAAGCTGTAAAGTTTTTTTAAGAAACTCTATAAATATTTAGAAAACAAAACAATGCAATAATACGCTGTAAGTTTTCAACTTATACCGGAAGGAATTACTGATTCTTAAATAAAAAGTAAAAAGGTAGTAGGTACCTAAGTATACATAATATAAGATTAATTTGTTACTCACTTGTTGGCTAACGCTGAAACGAAGGGACCAGCCAAGAGGTAAAATCCAGCTAGTAATGAATTTACTGGTGCCACTTGTCCGCTACTGGCCTGTATAAAATAAATAAAAAGATTAAAAATATTACTTTATTTAATATTAACTTTTAAATACAAAAATAAATAAAATAAACATGTAGACTTAAAAATAAATTGTACGAAAAAAAAATGTAGTAATATAAATATGCGTTGCCCACGCTTTATTTACGTATTTTAATATGGAAATATGTTTTATGAACACAAAAATGTCCTTGTTATATTTTACTTAATTATAGTTCAAATTGTTTTATCAATATAACTTCCTCTTAGAAACCACATCCGTACTGAACTGTATTATTGTGTTAAGAAATAGCATGTTGCACATGTTCACATTTTGTAACGTATTAATTAACTTTAGTATTATTATCACCGTACGCAGTAAAGCCAATATTATATATTACAAGAACATACCTAATTAACTTAATTTATGTTTATAGACGTTACCATCACGTTTTACCGTATACAAAGGTTATTTAAAATAAAATGAACATCTGTCGGTGTCGTGTACACTGATGTTATAAACCTACTCGTATATAATATTTAACAACAACAACAAATTTTATAATAATAAACAACAACCGCAGACATGCCGGCGTTATAGTTAACAATAGATTTCTTAGAAATTTAATTAATTTCGTAGAAATTTACCTGGAGGTGTTTTTGAAAGTAAGTAAATCAAAAAGAGGTAGATATTAATTTACAATAATTGAAACACAAAAACTATAAAATATACGTATATGTATACATATTTTCTTACGCTAGTAGAACGGAATGATAAATTTAATTCACAACAAGGAAGTAGTGACATGTAATATTATAATATGTTTTGCATCTACGACAGAATCGTGCAACGTGGAAGTGTAATAACTTCCCATATAAAAACATATTTCCGTTTTCGATACTCTCTTACTGACCCATTGGCCTTGTTAATGACAGTGACAGAGGCTACTGACAGGCTGTATATGTGTTGCATTTTTTATATATTATTCAAATGATAGTAGCAATCAATTTACATATTCATTAGAAGTAAACGTAAAATTTTCGAAACGGTGTATTGATATTTGATAGAAGATGGTTTAAGATAGATCGAATTCTAATATATTTTGTGACAGGTTGTTTAATTTACTATAACTAACATTGAAAATATAATATGTATAAAATAGGGCGCAGTGAAGCCACCCTATTCACGTCTGTGTCAGTAACTAGTGAGTCAACTACATTCTCCGTCAGCCCCTGCTCAAATATATTACGATTCACGAAACTATAAAAAGTAATTACAAATAATTTGTATTTGTAATTATTACGAACAAAAAAATGGGCTGTATAGATATATTAATTATGATTATTTATCAAACAATTTTCGAGAGACTTACGTACAAAATATTGTAAGTCCTTAAGTAATAACATATACCGTAATAATAAACTCGTCGTCTAGACAAACTCAAGTTTCATTACCTCACGATTTGTATCTACCGCTTTGTCCACAAGAAAGTTTATTTTACTCCCCTTTGTATATTTATAGTAAGACCCATTTGGTAACCGTTTATTTGCGGAAAACATTTATAGATAATACATACAATATTTCGAATAAAAAACCGTGATATAAAATGTAGAGTCTTAAAAATGTAGAATTAAGAGCAATGATAAACTGTATTAAACATGATTAAATAAATTAAAAATGATTAATTAAATTAAACATATACGATAATCGAATATAAAAATCCCGTTTCTATAATATTTACTTTAGCAATGATGCACGCTGGCTGCAGCTAACGGATAGCTATTGGTATAACGGCATGACCTTAGGTAATGGCTGCATTACAACTAGGCTTTTATTATATGCATGTGGCGGTGTGTTTGCTGACAATCAAAATCGGAGAGACAATGCATAGCAGCGTTTGAATTTAAACTAAGTACAGGGCCCTCCTAGTTGCCATCTTTTTTTATTAGTGTTTCTTATAATAAATAATTATTTTTATTATTACTAATTTGCATTGTCTTTATACTTACAAGTCTAGTATTTTGTTGAATCGATTGTACATAAGCAATCTTAAAAGTTCTGATATATTTAGTTATTGGCTTCATATTAATATAATACATTTTATTTTGACGATCATTTATGCAAGTATTCGATACGGGAATCGGGATGCTGTTTACTTATTGCCTTATTCTGTCTTTATGAACCGAAACTAAATTCATAATTTTTGTGCCCTAATATAAACTCACTCAATCTGGATCTATGGTTTTTGCTCAAATCACATTAATATTATAAATGCATTTTTTTCTTATTCCATATTTATTTTGAATCATATTATAATGGCTCCACAGATTGGAGTGAAATTCGAAATATACATATATACATAGCATGTATGGCTCAATTTTTAAAAAAAAAACTAAAAACTTGAATAAATACAAAAAAAAAACAACAAAAAATATTACATATTTTGCGTGGAATAATACTAAAGAAAACAGCATGAAAACTCTAAAACACGCGTTTTCTCAGAGATAAGACTAATCTAGATCAATTTATCGCCCCCGAAACCCTCTGTGCTCTAAATTTCATAAAAATCGTTGGAGCCGTTTCCGAGATTCAGATTATATATATATAGTATTGTATACGAATAAAAGTACAAAAAGAATTAATAGTTGTTATCTTACCATAAAATTTAAAAAAGAAATGGCAAATGTTGTAAAAGTAAAAAGTTACTGTTTCTCTTCTAAGTTCTAATAATACAATCGATTAACAGGATGTGGACAATTAGTTAGACAGTACTTTTGCCCACAGACAATTTGGTTGTAATGTCTGTGGTTTTGCCACATTAAGACTTAAGTATTTACTAACGACGGTTTCAAATAATAAAACTTAAGGAAGCATAAGGATATAATGTGTTTACGTTGAAGCTAAAAATGTTGTATATTCATTTACCATTAATCTTATAAAATTATCATACAACGTAGACCTACTTTTGCATTATTAATGCTCTTTTATTTCAAAACAAATATGTTTACAATTATTGCAGTCTTGTTTATTGTGGCTGTGACGCCTTCAGATTGTTTATCTGTTTATGTTTAAGATAGTTTAGATTTTCTTGAATAATATTAAAACATCATTACGAATGTTCTAAAAGACAAACGAAAATTATACAATCGCATATTTAACAGTGATTTCAAAATTTTTATTGGTTGAGCTTTCATTATCAATTACATATTTATTTTGCTTGCCACCAATGAATTACAGAAATAGTACCTATGTGTTGCGAAACGATCGTCCCACACGGTGTTTCTCTGAAACATTTTTTGTTAACGACTTGGCAAATATCCAAGCCATATAGTATTCGTAGACCAACAATGTGATTGCATTTATTTCGTTCAATATAACTATTTATCAGCCGGTCAACGCAGTCAACTTCATTTGACCTTATGGCACCTGCGTACAAATATTATCTTGTTCTTATTATTATTATTAGTATGTTTATAAAAGTATTACAGTTGCAACAATATTCAATATAATATTCGACATTTTCAATGATAAAATGATCATTGTTGTCGCGACATCAATTTACTTGAAATAACTTGCCAAGTGAGAAAAATTCCGCCAAGTGCAAGTCTGATACTCAGTGTGCACAGTGCACTGATTAAAACTTCAGAAGCGCATAGCTCGGTTACTATTGATAGAAATAAAAAAATCTAAATGAATCATTTACAACAATTTACAGATCTATCTAAAATCTAAATTATGTAATATGTAAACACCGAATGCACTTATGTGCACTCCCCTTATGTCATTTGTCTACGAGTAACGGAGCTTTTATATAGTAAGAAATAAGAATTAGTTAAACTATACCTATAAGATATTACGTATTAATCGTTTACGTATGTACATGCATATTTATTATCCACATTTAAAAGAAAGATGTAACATGTCTGTGGTAATATTCTTTATACTGTATTGAATTGTAACTTATTTTGACTTTTATAACAGTAATTTAACACTTAGAAGAAATAAATATTATTGTTCCTAAATAAAATTGGTTAATTTAATAGGTATACAACAGTCTATTAAAATATATTTATTTCACTTGAGGTTTGACAAGAAAACTTATGGTTATAGAAGTTACACAAAAAATTACATAAAATCTTACAACTGCGCGAAAATGAGAGTCGTGGAGGATCGTTATGATACAGATGTTTACTCGTTCGGCGCTCGCGGCTCTCTGCCTGGTCGAGCCACGCCGTCGCTCACGCGTTCGCGGGAGACGGGGGGGCGCGGGCGCCTAAACTATATGATCGTACGAAACACGGCCCTACAGGATCGTACATGTTCCGACACGATACCCCGCGATCACCGTTGTTTGTAAAAACCCCGCGTTACACTCTCCCCCTCTAGCCTAACTAAGTGTCCTCACAGTTGGGCTAGTCTAGGTATCTACGCGGCCTACCACGTTTACGTTTTTCCCTAACGGGAGGCTCTATCTGGCCGGTAAATGGCGTGAGGTGCGAAACGTGATATTTCCCTATATCTCTTCCGGTCTGTACGTTCTCTAACCCGTACGTAGTAGAACTAACTACCTTGCCTATCGTGTATGGGCCGTCCCGGCGTGGGATAAACTTCGCTGTCTGTCCACGTCCTGCATCGTTCGGCCCCTGCGTTTTAAGTAGCACCATATCGCCTACCTTATACTCTGGCGGCGATCGCCGTCTCTGGTCAGCAGCCCCCTTTATATAGTTAGTACTGAACATGCACATACCTGTACAATAATATCTAGTGCGAACACGGCCTAAAGTGCGCTCCACGCCGAAATGTCCTGCCGTAGGCGCGTCGTGGAGTTCAGCCATCACTTGCCTGCGTTCGTGTTCGGGCACAACAATACAGCATTCTTCTCCATCGTCTGACTCTAAACTATATCTATGAAGTATACCATCGGAAATAGTGTACCCACGATCGGACCCATGGCCTCCCCCTAGAAGGTTCGTCAGACTCCATGTCCTCAATGATTTTGCGAATCTCTGGTCTA